AGTCCTCAACGCCGACAGACCGACGATCGACAGGCCTGCCGCGAGGAAGGTTGAACTTGGTATAAGTATACGATGGTGCCGGATTGTTAGTGAAATCGCCCGATCGTCGAAAGTCCTCGCTAGCCATGCTCACGGGTGTGTGGACGGTGTCGTTAGCGTAGTTTGCAGGGGGCGCGTCGTTCGAATCTTGTTGTCGTAGTTGATTATCAAAAGAGGGTCTCATGTACGCACTGTCGTCCGACGCCTGGCGCGACGGTCCGTCGGTAGACCTGACATCTAGCGATGGTCGTGAGCCTCCACGACTCATGGGTCTTGAGAAGTTGTAGGCTGGGCGTGGAAGATTTGCGCTGCCGACAGAATAATCAGATGCTGCCGATGGTGATCGAGACATGTTGTGTGCCGCAGCAGGAGCGACAGGGGAGTGGGCTCTAGACACGCTCGAGCTGGGAGACAAGTTACGGTTCTGGTGCAGAGAGTCGTATGATCCGCTCAACGACATGTCCTCAACCTCACCATAGCAGTCGCCATGTACAGACCTGACGCTGGGTGACAGGTGTGGGGAGCGATTGGAGCGCAAAGAGCTGGACGATCGGAGTGGGTGAAGATTGGATTGGTTGTGTGGCGACTGGTGCTGCGAGCCGCCGGACGGCTTCCTTTGCGGGCTCAGGAACATTTGCGAGGCTGGAGCTGGGACATTGGGAGTGACGGGTGTGGCTTCGCGGAGTCCAAACTGAGGCTCGACAGATTCGGGCGAGTGAGACCTGGGAAGATCAAAGTAGCCGCGGGGCGGAGTGGCAGGGCTGGCCTCTGCGATGGTGGCCATGGGGCTCTGCAGAGGGCCAACGGCATACTGTGGCTCTAACTCATCGTTGCCGAACTGAGGGTAGTACGACTTGTGCCTCTCCATGACTTCCTGGCGCGGAGAGGGCTCGGGGCGTGGGGACTTGAATGGACCTGCATCTTCATTGGGCGAGTTGACGGTCGAGTTTGAGAGAGAGGAAAAGTATCCAGGGCGGTTGCCAAACTCATTCTGGATGGTGAGAGGGGCCAATCGGCTGAGGCGACGGCCAGTCTTGTCCTGCTGCTCGAAGCGCTTTGCAAGCAGCCTGCCCTGGAGGGCGAGGGCGTCGAGGGGAGAGAGAGCGGGGGGCGCTTCGCCAGTGCGTGGGCTGGGTAGGTCAGATATGAGCGACAGATTGCTCATGCTGGCGCTGGCGCTGGCGATGTTGCCGAAGCCAGAGCTGCTGTTGTTGGTGTTTGCGTAGAAGTCGGCGTTGTTGGAGGTGGAGGTGGTGGAAGGGTCAAACGACTGGGAGCGGAGGTCGAGGCCGCCCGGGCGCTGCTGCCGGTTTGCCATGGTGTGTGAAGGCGGGAGGGAGTGAGCAGTGAGCAAAGGGCAGGCAATTCAGCAGGGGTGGTGCATGGAATCGGCAGCAAAGGGCTGATGAGGCCGGGCTGTCATGCGCGCCGCCTCGAATCGGGCAAATCTGATAGGTAGCACTCTAGCAGGCTGGCGATGGCAATGGCAATGTCGATGGCGGCGGCTGTGCCTGCAGGGGAGGAGGAGCAGAGGGATGTGACGCGATCATGGACGGGCAGGACGAGAGGGCTCAGCGGGAGCAGCGCGAAGGAGCGGATACGACGGCGGCAGGCGTCGAAAAAGACCGGGCGGGAGGCGAGGGTGGTCTGGAGAGTCGGGGCGAGGGTGGGTATTGTAGTGTAGTGTATCTGGCAGTTGTTGCAGGGCAATAATAGCCAAACCTACACCTCCTGAAACCCGCGGTGGAGCCTGGTGCGAGAGAGGGAGCCAACGCCGTCACCAATTGGGCGCGCTACTACGAGTCGGCCCTGCATCGACAACGGTGTGGTCTCTGCGCCACCGCCGCCCCCCAGTCGCCGTGAAGCGTGACACGACGCCACCACGACCGCCCTATACGGCCCTCACTATTGACATTTCGCGCCGCCTTCCCTATTGCTGCATGACTACGGCACTGTACTTGGTGTGTAGCGTGCAGTAGGCGGTTGTCTATACGACATCAGCGTCATCATGCTGCTTGCATCGCATGCCGTTCCACCTGCATCCATCCCCCTTCGTGGTCAATTAACTACCTACACTACGACCACCACCACCACCACCACCATGCCATGCCATGACCACTCCCATCTCCCACCACCATCAGGCCCCATGCCACACACAGTCTCACTCATTGCCAAACCCCCACCACCACACCTGCGACACAACACCCACGGCTCCGACTGCCTCGTTTCACTAGCACCACGCGTAGTCGCCCTCGTCGGCTTGCGGCCGCTTTGGGCCACGGCCGCCAATAATCATTAGCAGTGCAAAAATGCCGTCGTCGCACACTCCTTGCCGCTGCTCATTTGCTCCCGCGCACCCGACGACCATGTCACGGTCCAGAACTTTTTTGCTCATTTAAATTGCTGCCCATCCTGCGAACCACTGTTCTTGCAACGCCCGATGTCGAGAGCTGAGATTTCTAGACAATAGCCCGTCTAAACTATACACCAGGGGCCCGGCTGTCACTGCTCGCCTCGCACTCGCCTCGCTACTAATAACCCACCACCAGTGCCAGTGCCTGTGCCTGCGTCTGCTCACCTGCTCACCTGCTCTTGAACCCTGCAGGGGCGCCGCTAGCCCATCACCGCCGCCAAGCCCATCCCCTTCTCCAACCCGGGTTTCATCTCGCTGCTCCTCCAATGCTGAGGGAAAACTCAATCCATCCCTCATCCGCCATTACCTAACACCGCGCACGCATGCTGAAAAAAATAATAACAATAATAACAACACACGTGTGCGCTGCAATTTCACTGTCCACACTGCTGCCATGGCGCCCTGTAGCTCCCGCAAGCACAGTCCGACTATGACGTGGATAGTCATCAAACTTCCCTCCACACGCCATCTGCCATGCACCTGTATCCTGTCACCCCAGACTGTTCGTATGCCGTTCCGTCTAGGCGACCGCATCGACCTTCTCCCAGCACTGTAGTTGTACGCTGTCCTCTAGCCGCGGCTTGGACGCAGTGTCGAGAGCCACGCGCTTCAAGCCCATCATCCATCCTATGAGCCCACGCGGCACCCAGTTGCCCACCAGATCATATGTGACACTTCCACGCCCAACACGCCATACTTTTTGCGGTCGTCGCTGTGTGAGCGCATCGAACACGCCATTGTGTAGTTCTCGAACTGAGCTGCCGCTTTGGTTGAGCAGGCCCCGGCTCTGCGCAACGCGTGCTTGGGCCTCGAAATTGCTTGCGTACAACGCTCTCGTCGTTGCTGGCCAGGCATGTGGGCTGCCGATCGACCGCGACTGCACATGATGTTTGGGGCCCACGTTTGTCAGATCAAATGTTCCGAGGTGAAATTGTAACACCTCAATGCCAAGGGTACCCAGCTCGCCTCGGAGCGACGCCAGGAACCCTTCGAGTGCGCTGACAATCGTCGTCTCCACGCTATGGAACGGCGGCCGCAATGACGCAATGATGCTCGGTGTGAGCATCAGGACGCGCGACTTGAACTCGCACACTGTCGGCAGCAACGCTTGTGTCACTGCAATCGTGTTGAGCACTTTGGCGTTGAGCGCGTCCGACCAGAGCTCAGGGCTGACCGTCTCTACAGGGCCAGTAGGGTAAATAAGGTCAGGAACCAGAACAACGCCGCGCAGACTAAGGTTATGCGGGGTTGCCCCGGAAAAGGCGACATGTGGTTTGGTGAGAAGCTCATTGAAACGTCTCATGGCCTCTTGTGTGCCCATTGTGTCGACTACATCCAAGTGCAGTGGCCGCACGTCGGCCCTTGACTCGCCTAGGACTTGCTGCTCCTCGTCCATATTGGAGCACACAATGTATACAATGAAGCCGCGGCGCTCAAGATCGAGCGATAGCGATCGTATAACGGGCGAATTTGGTGGCCCAGCAAGGACTGTGCCTGTCAGCTCCATCCTCCAACTAGGCTCGACTGTGTCGAATACTCACCTACAACTTCCATCCTCGCCCCATTGCCCGCTCGTCTCGCCCGGCGCTTACGATTGTACCGCTTCTGCTCTTGCCATACCAAAAACCCTCCAGTCGCACAGAGTGCAACAATGGCGGCCGTCAAAGCGCGGTGCCTGAGGACCCAGTCCTGGAGGCGATGTAGGTAGGCGCCAGCAATGGGATGCGGCGGTGGAGGCGGTGGCCGCGGTCGCGCGCGCTCCGGAAGCCATGTCTCGGGGAGGCTCTTTTTAATGTAACCAGCTACGTGTGCAAAATGCGCATCTGTTGCATCCCATATTGACCCCGTGAAGTTGCGAACGTCTCGAGAGTACTCAGCCAGCTTTGTATACGTCAGCTAGGTGCAGATGGAGAATCATGTCCCACTCACCACGCCGAGGACTTGCTGGTCGTTGTTGGACATGCTTTCGCAGGTTTCAGAACGTGTTCAAGTTCAAAAACAAACTTGTTCCAACCGGCGGTGCTTCAAACTTTGCAGAGGTCGCCTCCAGACGTCGTCGCAAGCACGCAAGTGCACTACGTCAAGCCAGCCAATGACTCGCGCGATCATCCTGGACACGGTCGCACGTGAGGGCCAGTGGCTTTTGCGCCACCGTTCTCTCTCTCGTGGACACGGTCCCTTTTATAGGCCTGCAGCTGCAGGCCTTATCTGCACTCGCTCGTGCTTCACATTCGCTTAGACAATAATAGGCTGTAAATAGCCGTGCCTGGTGGCATAGACTGACTCCGTCCGGCGCTATCGTCGTCGTCAACCACCAAGAACAACGCGTGAACTGCTTACGTGGCTGTCGGTATCCTCAAGCCCTTTCCTAGCAAATCTTGGCTTTTTTAAATTCATCTGCTTCTTCGCCCCTTCAGAGGTTGTTCGCATTTACTTGAACAAGATTGCCTGTTAGCACACCGAGAGAAAGAACCCTGCGCTGCATCCAAGGACGACCCATCAACAACTCAAAGTGCACCGTCTTGACTTGTAGGAACACCGCCACACCATGAGGGAAATTGATGCGCATTTCGATGCCTATGAGCACCTGAAACACCTTCCACGGGACGGCGAGGCGCTACATACCCTCCGCAAGGCTGCGTCCATGGTCAAGCCCATGATGAGGAAACGAGGCTGGAAGGTTGGAATACTTGCCGAGTTCCTTCCTGATGAGCCTCAGCTGCTAGGTAGGAGGGCGGAAGCCGCCCGCGAGATGCTCGACTGACCATCTCCCAGGCCTCAACATCAACCGCACAGAGAGGATCCTGATCCGGCTGAGATATCACTATGATTCCAGGCAGTTCCTGTCCCTGGAGCAAGTCACAGATACCTTACTGCATGAACTCTGCCACATAGTCATTGGCCCCCACAATGTCGACTTTAACAATCTCTGGAACGAACTTCGGGAGGAGCATCAGTCTCTTCTTGCGAAGGGTTACACTGGTGAGGGATTCCTGACGCAAGGCCAAAAACTCGGCGGTAGGCGCATACCGCTCGACGAGATGCGCCGCCAGGCTCGGGTCGCCGCTGAGAAGCGACGAACGTCGACCGACGCCAACGCAGGAGGGCATCGCTTAGGTGGTTCGCGACCTACAGCACGCGGTGTTGATATGCGTAAGGTCATCGCAGATGCGGCATCACGCAGAAACAGCATCACCGAAGGTTGTGCAAGCGGAAGCTCTGAGACTCAGCGGCTAGTCAACCAGGTCAATCAGCAAGAGCAGGACAGGTTTCGCACCACAGCTGAGCAAGATGATGCCAATGATTGGGCGATTGCTCAAGCCTTGCAAGATCTCATGTACGACGAGGAAATGCAGAGATTAGGCGCCCCGACTGGAAACGGTGGGCTAACTTGGGATCCTCAAAACGGACTGCAGTTCGACAGTGCACCACCTTCCCCTAGCACCTCGCCTGCTCCACCAACTCAATCTCATCCTACACGCAGCACAACTTATCCTCTTCCAAGCCGATCTCTGCCACGATCAACCGCGCAAACTTCATCAAAAGCACTAACACGCACTCCTTCAACATCCGCGAGGACACCCTCGCGCCTTATCTCGTACGACGAAGAGCAACGAAGGAACAAGCGTCTTCCCCCCACACCACCGCGGCCATCTCCGCCACAGCAGTCTGTCACGTTCCCCACTGACCCGAATAAGTGGGCGTGTCCGCAATGCACGCTGCACAACCCACTCGACTATCTTGCCTGTGGTGCCTGTGGCCTTGAACAGCCACCTCAGCCCATACCAGAACACAAACGTTTTGCATCGTCATATACTGTACCTGCTCTACCCAAACCACCGCCGCAGTCTGGACTGCGAGGGCAGGGTGCCACGCCGTTTGAACCTGCAAGGGGTAGGATAGGCTGGAATTGTCTTGAGTGCGGGACCTTCATGGTAAGGTTATTTTTAGAATACAGTTTGTATGAATTGTGTTGCTGACTGATTACAGGAAAATGAATGGTGGACCTGTTCGCTCTGCGGAACGATGAAGTCGGACTCGTAGGGCATAAACAAAAGCGTTGTGACATTTACGCGAGGGAGGATATGCAATCTGGATACAAGCGTCTGGCATAAGATACGAATATCGTCTGACTGCGTTTTGGTATGCCCGGATAAACGGCATACATGTCAAATATGGTGCCACTTATCTTGGATAAGAGATGGCGCATCTGTCTGCACTTGGTCTATGGACAGCCTTGTTGGGGGGTCCATGATATGTGACCTGTGGACAATGGTTGTTTATGATTGAACGCTAAATACGTTGTTTGAAGCATGTTTATATGAGTTACGGATATGTGAATATGACACATTTGTGAATAGGCAAGCGCCAATTCTTTTGTAGGTAGTCTCAACCTTGGAAAGGTATTTGAATACTTTACACGAGTGAAAGACATATTCATGGACGTTCCTTCCTCACGAATGCTCGGTCGTCGCTGCCAAGCAGTCTTCACTTTACTTGATCTCATCCTGGACGTCCCAGTAACACTAAAGACTTCACCCCGTTCGGCGGCAAACGAACGCCCCACAACAACTCTCGAAACAACTCCTCTTCACAATGCCGTCGCTGAAGGACCTCAATTGCAGCATTGAACTGTCACAACCTCAACACGCATTACCAGAGTACGGTACCACATACGGCGACGGCTTCGTAGAGACATTCGTGCCAGTACCCCACCAGCCACAATCCTTTTCTATTCACCTCACATCCAACACATTCATCGCGCCTGGCATTGCGATCTTTGTCTACGTCGACGGGGTCTACCAGTGCAACCGCAACAGACAAGACATCAAACCCCGAAAACCGTCGGGCAGTCGCTCTTTGGTGGACTTTAGGGTGCGTCAAAAAGAGGAAAGACAGAAAGATGGGTCTATGATTGCGCGCGAATGGACTTTGGATAACTTGGATATTAGTGAGTTGCAATATGGTGTGCTTCTCCGGCAGTGACTGACCAGTAGCAGCGTCAGCGGATGATGCGTCGAACCTCAACACGCCAGCCACTATTGAAAACATAGGATGCATCGAAGTCGTGGTGCTGCGATGTGCTGGCAGTCGAGACGCGAAATCTGCTTCGGCGATCAACTTAGACGGCGCTGGTGACTGGCTCGACCATCGTTTTAGTTTGGGAGACTCACCAAGTTCTCACAATCGATCCATGTGCGATGACCGAGGACCGTTTTTCAATGGTTCCCACAATATTTCTGGTCCGCCAGCGCCTTGGGCGTCCTATCGTGCGCCGTACGCCGAAACACTGCAGAGCCACGAGAGCTCCAAGACACAGATTCAATACAACACTCTCCCCATACGGGACAACAAATCTAGAGTATCCATGACACGTCACTCGAAGCCTAAATCTCGGTACTCGGAAGCGATCAGCCCGGGGACGCGACGCTTAGAAAGCATTCCCTCTTCTGGCTTCCAATATGGCAGTGGGCCTATTCCACCCGATAGAAAAGTTGCTCATCGCGACAATCATGTGGTTATGACTCCAGGAACAAGTGGTGTCGACCCCACGTGGCTGAAAGATGTATTGAAGGTGGCGGTCAAACAGGGTGTAGAGGAGTCACGACGGGTAGAAGCCCAGTCTGCACGACATGACAGAGATTCAGACCACACATCACAGAAAGAAGACAGAACAAGCCAGGCTCCTGGAGCATGGCCAGAATCTCCACACACTACGTCTGTGCAGGTACCGCATTCCTTCAAGGCATCACCATCCAAACGCAATCAGCGCAGCGACCGTGCATCATATTGGGTCCAGTCACAAAATGGATGGGACCAGCTTGAGATAAAGAGCAAAACAGGAGCCCGCACGAATCAGAGCGAAGATCATTTGTGGGAGACAGAAACCTCCAGCTATGGCAATGGGTGGCATTCGTGCGAAGAAACGCCGTCAGATTCTTGGGATACGGATGAAACTTGGGAGACAGCTAGAGGAAGGGAGTGGAAGGATTCGAGTCAGTTGGAGATACCACTTGCTACAACTGCAGCACCTCACTTTAATGCCCATATTGTTTCTCGAGCATCTTCACCTATACATCCTCGACGACGATCTACACATACATCGAGAAAGCATCGGTCGCGTTCGAAGTCACGATCTAGACATCATAAGAGAGATAACGAAACTTCATTGGAACGCACAAGATGGGCAGGAAGGGCTTCATCTTCCTACTCTACCAGTTCGACCAGCAGCTCAGACAACACGATACAGCCGTCGCATTCTCGAAGCCATATACAGACTCCGCCGAAGAGATCAAAGAGTCGTGGCCGTTCCTCACGGTCTATGCAGTCTTATCATGACCGAAATTCTTCTCGATATCCGCTTTCTGCGGAAAATCTGAAGCGCATAGATTCTGAATGGGCACCTGTTCCTTCTACAATCACGCAAGCGATACCAGATGTCCAAAGTCACCCAGATATCGCGCTCCCAATGCATACACAGTCAAGACGATCAAGTGGACATGCTAATGCGGGTCCTTCTGCACCAGAAGTTCCAGATTGGCCTGCAGCCATAAAAAATACTAGTAACATATTTCCAGCTCCATATGCACCATCTGCGAAGGAATATGCATGGGACGCTATTGATGCCGGTGAAAAGGATCGTCATTCCACAGCTTCATCTACTTGGGCCAGCAACAGAGTGCATTCTTGGGCCATTGCCACGCCTCAAGATTCCTCCTGGGAAACTGAAAAGCAGAAGAGTCACGATAAAAACGCCTGGTACTCAACTTCTGATGACGAAGATGGGGATATTAAATGGACTACCCCGCCCACTGATCGTAAAATCCCAGAACCTACAGGATGGCAGGATGTTACCAAGTCGCCATTCGATACAAAGAAAGCGAAATCTAACAAAAAGGACTCTCCGGCCCTTCAAGAGCTAAAAGGCGTCCTCGAAATGACTTTGGGCAGAGAACAGAAAAATGACAGGGCGAAGGGGAACGATGAGTCCAGGCCTGCTGTTCAAGGAGGGAAAGACGAGAAGAATAAGAAAAGTAAGCAATCAGGCCACGCCACTACTCCCCGTCGCCACAAAAGTTCAAAATCTCCTGCCAAGTCCAAAGTTCAGCCTCCACAACCCCATTGGTGTTTTCCTCCACCACCTCCACCTGCATCCCTCTTGCCTTCTCCTTCATCGCCACCCACCATCACAGCTGCCGCAGCCTCTAAAAAGGGATCCAAACACGTCGTTCGAACCAGCACACCCATTCCCTACGGCCATGCGATAGCGAGACCAGAGTACGTGGATAGCCTAGAGAAGGCATATGCGGTGTTCCGATTCAAATACCGGAGTTTGGACGCATTGAAGAAACTGGGGGTATTGGGGGATGATCTGGAAGAGGCAAAGAAGAACTGGCAGTGAAAGGTGGAGGATGCATGCGGAGTAGAGAGAAATGGCAAAAGGCTTGATTTACCTAAACCCATGTACATTAAAAAGAAGGCACAATAAGTCGATCAAATAAGAAGCAAGTCATGAAATTCACATAACCTCCCTCTCGTCCAAAAAAAATACACATTACTCTACTCTGCAAATTCAATCCCCCCTCCCCTTACTTCTCTTCAAAAACAAAGCTCATCCCTCTCCTCCTCACTCTCCTCAACCCACCCCCTCTTCCTCCCACTCACCAACCCCCCCAAACTCCTCCTTCCTCCCTTCCCAGACACAACCGGCGTCCCCTTCCACCACTGCTTCACCTGCTTCACCTGCGCCCTCCTCTCACTCCTCTCCACAGACAACATTCCAGACGTCCCACAACCACTACTTTTCCTCCTCCTCCTCTTCCCCTCCCCCACTCTGGGCGTTTGAAACACAGAGACGAAGAAGCTTGGGGAGTCGGAGGTGCTGGATTCGCGTTTGATGCGGGGGGTTGTTGGGGAGAGGAGATCGTCATCCTCGTCGTTGTTGTTTTTGAGAGCAGTGGTGGTGATGGAGGAGGATATGAGGTCGATGGATATGCTGCGTTTACGGAGTGGAGGTGGGGCGGGGTGTGTGTGAGTGTTTCTGGGGTTGGAGAGGTGGCGGGTGAGGGTTTGGGGGTTTTTGAAGGTGCGGTTGCAGATTTGGCAGGTTAGAGGCGGGGCTGTAGTTGTGGTTGTGGTTGTAGGTGGTTGGTGAGGTGTGGAGTCGTTGGTATCATCGTTGGCCGTGGGGGTATCTGGGATTGTTTCGGAGCGTCGAGTGAGTGCGGGTTCTGGCTGTGTGGTGAGTGTGGATGGGGATGTTGGTTCGGGTTTTATCTGTATTGATGGTTGGGGTGGGGGTGTGATGGTGGCGTCGTGCATGGCTAGGCTTTCGAGTAGGTCTCGTTGTAAGTCGTCTTCGTCGATCATGGTTGGCGTTTCTATAGAGGGTATTATGCTGTCTTCTGATAGGGAGTCTGGCATTTGTTCGTCGCAGGGGATTTCATGGTCTTCTCCTTCTCCTTCTCCTTCTTGTTCTCTCTCTTCCTCTTCTTCTCCTTCTGCATCCGAACCAGCAAGAGACAATAGTTCACGTTCGTCGTCATCATAATATGCGCTCGAGGGAAATCCCTTGAAAGCTTGTGTTGGTTCGGTGGCTTCCATGTGGCCGTCTTCGTGCTCGGATGAGCTGGGAGTTGGCAGATGGTGAGACTGCATTACAGGAGCCTCTACTTGCTCAACTAGTTCAGTTTCAGTGTCATGAACGTCGTTAATCGAGCAGGCTACAACTGGTGTTTGCAGATGCAGGTTTTGATCCTTAATCAAAGCCCACCGCCTGCTGATTGCACTTGCGGGCCAGTCTTTCCATTTCGCCTGGCTTTCCTTGATAGCAACCCATGATGAGTGATCCACCATTTTTCTTCTACTTATATATGCGTCGTCTTCTGGTGTGAAATGATATTTTCTAGTAGCACGAATTCGGCGTCTTTGGATCTCAACGCGCGGACTGGTTCGGCGATGTGCAGTGGGTGAGCTCTCCTGTAACCTTGCGTGAGAAATTGAGAGAGTAGCCTCTTCGACCATAGGGGTCGATTCTGCTAATAGCCCTCCTTCATGCTCACGTGGTAACGAAGTAACGACTGGCTGATCGGCTTGCCCAGCCGCAGGAGCTGCTACGTGAGCAGCAAGAGGGCTGGATTGAGCTACTGGGTCCTGTCTTGGTACAGCAGAGAGAGGTGGGAAGAACCATTTTGGGTCCGTAGCGGGTGCGATCTTATCGTCTGTGGTGATCATTGGCGTAGTTGGTGGTGGAGCAGCGCTTGCGAACGGAGTAGAAAAGTTGGGCGGCAGGAGACCGGATTGAGCCATAGCTTTTTGGATGACTTCACCAATTCCCTGTGTCAAAGTCATATAGAATGTAGCTTGCGCCTGCTGTCCGGCAGGAGTTTGTGGAAACTGAACAAGCGGTAGGAGGTTCGGGGTCGGATTTGGATTCGGCGTATTGGGGGATTGCATTGTGTTGAATTGCGGTGTTGAAGTCGCTGGGGTATTTGAATGTTGTGGAACTGACGGAATGTTATCGCTGCGTAGGGACTGCGCGTCTGGTATGCTTGTTTGTTGTCCGTCCAGTCCAGGCTCTGTTTCTTTTGACTTCACCGGCTGCGTAGGTGCCAATTCATCTTCCGAATCCTCCGAATCCTCGTCATCCTCCTCTTCACCCTCATTTCTCGATTCCTTCCCCACGGCCAAACCAAGAGTGTCCAACAACATAGTCTCCTTCCGACCGACCTGGCGCTTCAGTCTCCGCAAATGCCCTCTATCCACCACTACTCTGTTAGTTGCCATGTCAATCTCGTCGCTCATTGACTCGTGCATGTTTCCATATTTCTCGAATATCGATTCGAGTCGGCCCTTGAATTTCTGTTGTTGTTTCTGCTTCGCCTTGATATACTCGGCGTTCTCCTCGTCCACTTCGACAGACTGCCATATGCGCATGCGCTTCGCCGGTGGTTCCATGGTGTATGACCGCGCGCTTTGAAATATGTGGGAAAGGAGTGGCGGCCTCGATCAAGGGCGATAGAGATGGTGGGTTGGCGAAGGGCGGGGGTTGTTTGCGACGGTTTGCGACGAAGCACTAATTGGCCCGACGCGAAAGCTGACAATGGCTGAGACGCGTCGACGCCAGCATGCCTTAGCGGCGGCCGGGGGAGCCCCACCCACCTGCAGGTGATCTCCAACCACCAACCGCCGCATCGTCATCCACCACCTCCCACAGCGCCTTAATAGCTCACCTTCATAACAGCATGAAGGCCCACCTCTCATGACATTATGCCGAACGACACAAAACCAGCCGGCTTGGCCTGTCAGAAGTGCCGGACACCCATAGACATCGATGCTTCTATTGACCAGCTCAACCCGGCTGCCTTCAAGCTGTTGACAGGTACAGCCATCCCTGGGTTCTTTCTAGGCCCGGTTCTTATATTGATTGCTGTATAGATTCTGTGGTTTCAGGTCAGCTGCAGGCCCCGAAGATCTCGCCAAATCGCCAGTCGCGTCCTCCAAACCCACCAGAACATCTCAAGACCTACCAAGATGCGATCAAAGATGCAAAGACACCTACATACAGACGCAACATCCAAGGCGCACCGCAATCACGAAGCCCAAATGGCCCTCAGAATCCCGCCATGTCGTTTATCGACATATACATGTCCGAGTCGATGATCAACCCACCCTCTACAGAACCAGTCCAAAGTGCCAACGGCAAGACACAAACAGAGGATGCAAAGGCTGATGGCAACGATAAAACAAAGCGGAAAGGTGCGAAGAATGGTCTGGGCACGGCAGGAGGTGCGAGTCTAGCAGACGGACTTGAGACGACAAATCGCATGTTCGAGATCCTATCTGCGCGCTCTGATGTCGACCACCCGATATGCGTAGAGTGCACCGAGATCCTTATAGATGGGTTACAAAAACGACTTGGCGTAGCAACCCGGGAGCGTGACGCATACGTAGACTTCCTCCGCCGCGCCAATACCGATGTGCCCAGCGCTGAAGAAGTCAAAGCCGCCGAAGCAGCGCTCAAAGCAGCCAAGAAGGCCGAGAGCACCGCCATTACTCAGCTTGAGAACCTCGAGGCCGAAAAGGCAGAACTAGATAATCAGATTGCTGCCTTGGAAGCAGAGGCGCGGATACTGGATCAAGAAGAGAACGAGTTCTGGAAGAGCAGAAACGCTTTCAACACGACCTTGACCGAGTTCCAAAATGAGCGCGACGCCTTAGCCACAAGATACGCTCACGATGCACAGGTGCTGAACCAGCTGCAGAGAAGAAGCGTCTACAATGATTCCTTCAACATCACGCACGACAACCACTTTGCCACCATCAACGGTCTGCGCCTCGGACGCTTACCAAACCCGTATGTCGACTGGCCTGAAATCAACGCCGCATGGGGTCAGACCTGTCTGCTCCTCGCTACTCTAGCAGAGCGTCTAGGCTACAAATTCGACGGCTACGAACTCTGTCCCATGGGCTCTACATCAACTATTACACGCATAGAAGCCAAAGGAGGGGCGTCGGTCGCCGAGTCAACTACAAGACACCAGCATGCATCTACAGCGACCACCGCTTCATCGCCACAGATATCCAAACAGCGCCTAGAACTATACTCGTCGGGGGATTTCCCCATCAACTTCGGTTTCCTGCACCGCAAGTTCGACGCAGCCATGGTGGCATTCCTCGAATGTCTCAGGCAGCTGGGCGAATTCGTTGAAAACCAAGCTCCTCCAAATGCTAGTGGCATAGGGGCTCCCGGCAGTGGTGGTGGCGGGGGCGTCAAGATGCCGTACGAGATACGTAAGGATCGGATCCATGATCAGAGTATCAAGCTGGCGCTCAACAAGGATGAGGGATGGACAAAGGCGTGCAAATACACGCTGACGTGCTGCAAATATCTGCTCGCGCACGCAAACAATGTTGAGAGTAACGCCATGCGGAGACGGTAAGTCGGGCTAGGCACAGCATGGGCTAGATTGAGAGAAGAGGAAAGAAGAACAAGGAGAAGAAGAAGGTGGGGCTGGTAGTACAAGCAATGCTTGTTTGATTTTTTTTCTCAAGATGGATAAGATACCCAAATAGTGATTGATTCTTGCGACTTTTTTATTGCTCAGTGACGTGTTGCTTTTCCGAGAAATGATGCACGCATGTCGTTTCACACCGGTACAGTCGGAAATAAGGACAGTAGTCAAAGCTATGGGTATGCGGTATTTCACAATCACCAATGGTTTTGCCGGGTGCCATCTCGTGTTGCACCGTCACCTCGCACAGTGTTACTAGTGGACGGAATTCCCGTCATGCCTAGAGCCGGGGAGCACCATGGTACTGTGGTGCTGGACTTTCCATCTTACCATTAGCACGGGACAATTACCTAAAAGAAAGCTTCCATCACAAAAGAGACCCCTTTGTATGGTGGGGCACAATTCGCATTGCACCATCCAGTGGATGTGTGTCGTCAGCCCTGCTGCGTGGTGGATGGTGCCAAATCATTACAGGAGGTTGGCTCGGGTGGTTCAAATACTCTAGAGCACCGGAAGACTTGACAGGCTAAAGTTAACACAGTCCTATAGTGGTGCAAAGACCAGGACCGTCTCTCCAAGGGCGACTGCAGACTGCATTGATTACGCGGACTCGTAGTTGGGTTAGATTGACACGCCTGACCATTGTGTGGTGCAGCTGGCCCTCCCGCACCGACCAACAAGCCTACCAGCACGGATACGGCATCTGCATCCAGCACATGAGGCGGGATCCACCCGCTGAAACAAGCACCGTCGTCAGCTTTGACAGTATCGACGCCGGAGACAAAAGCGGAAAGGCACGATCCTCTCGGTGGTGTTGCGGCTCTGGGCTCAGAAGACGGGGTCAGCTGAGTTGTACAGCCCTGGTGACTCTCAGGGTATAATACTAAATATGCGCTAAACAGATGAACAGAACAAGGCCGTGCTAAGAAAAAAAAGGTAAAAATCCAAGAAGTGATTGGAAAGCCGAATGTTCCTGCCGCGGCTAGGTCGCGGGTCTGGTGGCCCCAAGTAGGACAGTCCCAGACTCGGTACTGCTCGGGGGCCGAGATGTTTTGCGGGGTAGCGTCAATCCTTAGCTCATAGAAACTAGGAGAATGAATTGACCGTGCTGGGGGGATGATGGTTGATGTTGTCAAGAGGCACAGGCAAATGCAGTGACCGGTCTGCTATGCGCGTTGGCGTAATTACCCTCGACCCTGACGTGCTCAGGATTACATCGAGGCGTCCATGTAGTAAGTGCAGTGGGTGTTAGAGCGGCGTATACTACACTTGTGATTGTTTTTTTGAGAGTACGGGTGAGTGTCGTCGGTTCCAGTGGTGAGCTAAAGTAGTTCCCGTAAGGGGTGTAATTCATTCATGGCTGTGGAGAAGGTGCATGGCGGGGAAGTTTTGAAGACGTAAGAAATTGCCAAATCAACCCAGGTCGAGCACCAGGGCGACGAGGCTAGACTTGAAGTGATGCAAGCGAGGGGACGTATACGTGTCAATGGAAGAGAGTGTCCATGCATCGTGAAGATTCTGCAAACAGGAGGTTTAAGGGGGTGCACGAGGCGTGGCATCGTCAGGAGACGAGGAAATGGACGAGGCTAAGAAATTGTGGACATCTGTGCATTTATTGAACAGGCCAGTCTTGACACGGGGATGGAAATACGGTGTGGATGGGGTGTGAAGCAATCATGACGATGGTGTTTTTGACGTGGTAGCCAGGCGGAGATGCAGGAGATGGCGAGGCGGACAAGGACGCCACAGGCTTGGAGGAGGTGGTGAGAGGGAGGATGAATGGTGTCGAATCTGACCACCAAGGAGGAGCGGCATGCATCGGCAACAGATGGCTGGCGTGGTGAGCAATGCAGGTCGCAAGTCGCAGGCTGGAGGCAGGCACGAGGGTGCTCGTCCGAGGATTTTGATGTGTCATGCGTGGTCAGGTGGCCTGCGGATTGAATTTCCTGGGGGTAATCGAAACGCAAAGGCCTGGCCCACGTGAAGCCAAATTTGAGCGTCGAATCGCCGCCCCAGCCCTTCCGACGCGCCAAGCCCCTCTGACGTAAAGAGAACCGAGCCTCCAAACTGCTCTGCACCGCCTCTGATTGGTGCGCCTGCGCCTGCGTCTACTTATGCCTGCGCCTGTGCTGTGGAACCATTCACTCCTGCTTGGCTTGTAGCCGTCTCGGCCCACCGTCCGGCTTGTTTGGCGCGGCTGCACAAAGCTGGGGAAGTCTTCGCCTTGGACTAACTCCGTACCACGGTGCCTGGTGTTAATTGTTGCAATAAATCTCTGTTCGCTCGTCACTGGTGGCGACTATAAGACTCACAGGCTGCCTCCTCTCTCGCTTTGTATATCAACCCAACCTACGCCTCTCCACCTACTCACCAACAGCCACACACACACTTATACTACACTACCCACACACATACACATACACACACTGTGTCACACCGACATCGACATCGACCCACCCTACCTTTGCTGCACATTCAATGAACATCAACCAGTTCCCGTACGAAATCCTTTCCCAGATCCTCCTCGAGGTTACCAAGGCCAATGTCCGCGAAGGCCCAACCTATACGTTTGGACTTCAGCAAGCGCCGCTCCCACTAGAGAGGGCCAAGCTCCAGCGCTATGTGAGGGGCCCCGTTCCCCCAGAGCTTCTCAAGTGGGATGCCACTGCCACACTCCGTTCCGTCTGCTGGAGATGGCATGAGTGGGCTTTGGAGCACTCAATCAAGGATGTCTACATTCGCCGCTGGAAGGGTGGAGAGGTAAGCAACATCCCAAGCATTCGCCTAGTCCTTACCATACTAACGGTATCTAGCGATGGGCTGAGCTCTCCAATAGGCGAGAAAGCTACCCGCTTTACGAGCTCATTGACCGTCCAACCGGTACGGCGGTGTACCGTGATCCATTCGCCTCCCTCAAGCGCACAATCAAGATTTGCAACGACTACCCCCAAGTTGCTTCCAAGATCAAGCGCATGTGGGTCCATGGCTTCTACACCGCCGAGACCGACCGCCTTATTTTCGATTGCTTGAGGAACTGTGTTAACCTTACTTCCCTTTCCATTCCGTGGACTACCATTAGGCACGTGGATGCCAAGGCCTGGCGAGCCATGTTGACGGGTAGTGGCAAGTCACTCCAGTCTCTGGAGCTGCAGTGTGTCGATCCCACATCGCAGCAAGCAGCCGACAAGGACAACCTCGTCGACCTAGAGCCACTCCAGTCGGTCAACTTCAGCCAACTGCGCCGCTTGAAGATTTTCGGCGACACATCCTTCATGCCCATCACCGACAATGACCTGTTCGCCATTGCTCGCACTGCCACTCAGCTCGAGGAGTTCCACCTGACCTGCAATTCGTCCATCACCATTGATGGTGTTATGGCAATTGTCAAGGCTTCTCGCCAGACACTTCGTGTTCTGGAGCACAGCCCGCGCTCCCAGGATGGCTTCTGGCACCCACATCCTGGTTCCCCAAGCGACAGTGAGCATCTCTGCGATACCTTCCGCAACTGCCCAAAGTTGGAGACCCTGTCCATCTCCCTCCCATCTGTGTGCTCCCACCTCTTCTCCAATGAGGACGCCAAGTTTGCGGGTGACTTGCAAGTTCGTGCCCTGCATTTGTGCGAGCATGAGCATGGTCGCTCTACCCACGAGGCTACCGACGCCCTGCAGAAGCTACTGGAGCAAGCGCGCCGCTTCATCCGGCTCCGCGCCGAAAGCGCCATCCCTCGCGAGCTCTATATTGAGCTGTTCTTCGCGGACTGCATCTTCGAGCCAGGCTTTCAGGCGGTGCATGGCGACTTTTCCTTGGCACAAATTTCGTCCGAGGGATACTGGCCGCAGAACGTCGAGTTCAGCGGAAAAGGACCTTACGGAAGCACCGGCCTGTACGGAAAAGAGGAGGAGGCGCAGTTCCAGCGCATTCACGAGGCCGATTTCCTGGCTGGTGTCCACAGGAGGCTTCATTCCATTCAGACTTGAATGTGGATCATTTGACCAAAAAAAAAACAGCGATCGTCTTCCCTTCTTCTGTATACCATTACTTCAACTTGTTTTACGACATAACGATCATATGCATGAGCGGCAGGCCTGGAGCCAAGAGATACCAGGCTGAGGCAGCCATATTCGATTCATGCATTTCCAAGGGTTTGAAAAATATTGACTACAAAGGCATGGATTTATGTCTTCAAAAAAAGCGGTTTTCAGGGAATGTGCATTTGAGCGTCGGCAGTTCTGTTTTTCACTTGTTAGCGTTGTAGCGTTCATAACCGGATACCATTTGTACTGCAATGAACAGAGTTTCTACGTATGCACTTCTTGGTTCCAACTTCTCTTTGAATATGTGCATGTTGCATCGCATCTTGCGGAAAAGTTTCCACAACTATAAAAAAAGCCATGACGACGTGTCGTTGGAAAATTTTAAAAGAAAAAAGGCCTGACAGACAGCCTTATCAGAATCTTCACCGCACGCTTTTTCCCCCTCCCGCCTTGGCGATCATCAGCCCCCGCAATTGCGGCCTTCCAAGCTGCTTGTCTCAAGACGGAAAAGCCCAAGGTACGGGGTGCCCCTCCGTGCTTACACAGCCAACAGTAAGCTCTCCTCTAGCCCATTCTTAGCATAACCACTGTTATCCATCGGTGTGTATGCAACGCCGCAGCACCACCAACAGCGATAATATAACGGCCATTGCTGATGACCAATGTTCGGAATATATCCGCAGTGTCTCGGGCCATTTCCTGCCGGAGATCCGGTCGCAGCGGTGCATTGGGGGCTTTTTTTTGGAGGGGGCGGTGGTCGGATGGAGACCTGGGCGATGTTGACAGACTTTCAAATCCTTACCAAGCAGTCATGTAATCGAGAATTCAGGCAGAAGAAAAATGGATCCATGACGCTACTGCGCCGGGGATAAAAGTGGGAGCGCGCTATACCCGTCTGGGATAGGTATGGAGGGGCGTTGCTGCGCGTTTGCAATGCTCTGTGGAATCGGCTGGTCTGATAACGGCAAAGTTTGGCTCTGTCGACGGGGGTACAGGTGCGGCGATTGGACCAACGTGGGTACATCTAGCTTGCATCATGTCATGTAGGAAGAGATGGGGATCGGATATGAGGGTTAGCGGGTATGCTGCCATGTTTTGCGTGCTGGCGCATGTTGTCTGGGCGAACAGGTATAAGATGCAAGGCATACCCCTCTCCTCGAGCTTCATCTGCAGCTCTATCCCAATTCCTCTGTTCTAACTCTTCTCTCTACACTGTTTGATACCCCTAGCTATTCAAGATGGCGCCCAAGATTGCAATTGTCTACTACTCCATGTATGGCCACATCAAGAAGCTGGTATGTTGACACTATCGCGGCATGCAAGCTGCCGTAGAGCATCACCCTGTTGGTACCAATTAAAGAGAACAACGTCACTAACTGCAATTTCAGGCCGATGCTGAGTTGAAGGGTATCCAGGAGGCTGGTGGTGACGCCAAGCTCTTCCAGTATGTATCTTCCGACATTCCACAACATTCCACATCCTAGCACCCCCTCAATTGCAACCCTCCCACGCTCTACTCCTTACAACATGGTCTAACAACATTACAGGGTTGCCGAGACCCTTCCCCAGGAAGTCCTCGAGAAGATGTACGCCGGCCCCAAGGCTGCCGACGTCCCCGTCCTTGATGACCCCTCTGTCCTCGAGGAGTTCGACGGTATCCTCTTCGGTATCCCTACCCGTTACGGAAACTTCCCCGCCCAGTTCAAGGCTTTCTGGGACAAGACTGGCAAGCAATGGCAGCAGGGAAGCTTCTGGGGCAAGTACGCTGGTCTCTTCGTCTCCACCGGTACCCAGGGTGGTGGCCAGGAGAGCACCTGCTTGGCTGCCATGAGCACCCTCACCCACCACGGCTTCATCTACGTGCCATTGGGCTACAAGACCACATTCGGTAAGTTTTATAGACACATTCTTACTCAATTGCGCAAATAAAAAAAACTAACATTTTCCCAGCCGACCTTGCCAACCTGAGCGAGGTTCACGGTGGCTCCGCCTGGGGCGCTGGTACCTTTGCCGGCGGTGATGGTTCCCGCCAGCCCTCTGAGCTCGAGCTCAGGGTTGCCACTGCCCAAGGCAAGGCCTTCTACGAGGCCGTTGCCAAGGCTCATCAGTGACTAGATGATGGTACTACGGGCGAAAAGAAGGCGGTAGAAACTACGACCGCTACGACTAATGGTACTACACCTGCGCCAGCGGACAAGACTTCCAATACCCCTGCTGCTGCATCTTCATCACAACCTCAGCAAAAGACTGAAAAGGACAAGGAGGGTCCTTGCGGACTGCCCTCAAAGTGCGATATCATGTAGATCTTCTGATAAACCCCTTACCTTCTAAATTTATATAAATGAAATGAATGATACCTTTTACGATCTAATAATTCTTCTTGTTCTTCTTGTTCTTCTTCTTTAACGACAGATAGTCTTTTATGTGTTAATTGGCAAAACGTATTTGTCCCCCCCCCCCCAATTCAATTCAATTTCCAAATTCTCTACTGCATCTATGTAATTTGGATCTGGATTTGGGTATACATGAAGTAGCAAAAAAAAAGAAAAGAAAAAGAAAAAGTCTCAAAAAGAGAAAGCTACCCGAAAAAAAAGGAGCCAAAAAAGATATTCATCCTACTTATGATATTCCCCATCCTTTTACTCCAGGAAAGAAAAGGAAAGGGAAAAAAACGCCAGTCTAAATCTTATGAAACCAAAAATCTCCCACTCTCTCCCTCCCCCTTTCCTATTCAAAAAGGGAAAGAGAGAGAGAGAGAGAAAAAAAGTTGGGATGAGAAGCAAGAGGAATCAAAGTAAAAAAAAACCCTAAATCTACTCCGCCTTTCCATCCTTCCCATCCCCACCCCCCTTCCCTCCCTTAACATGATCCTGGATAAACTGATCCACCCACTCCTCAATCCCATCCGCCTTATGCGTCAACCACTCCCACCAACTCTCCTTTTCCTTTTCCTCTTCTCCTTTACCCTCACCCTCTTTTCCTTTCTCGGCTGAACCTCCAGTAGCACTGGTAGTCGTACTAGGAGGTGTAGGTCGAGTAGGCGGGGCTTCGTTTTCCAGTGTAGCGCCCGTGTCGAGACCGGATGCGGAGGAGGCGATGCTTGAGAGGGGGTCGAGCAAGGAGGATGAGGGCATGGCGGCGAGGTTTGTGGAGGGGAGGGGGTGTGGGCGCGAGGAAGAAGGGGAAGAGGAGGGGGAGAGGGTGTACGAGGATACGGGGTCCTCTGGGGTTTCGTTTTCGGATCCGTTTGCGGAATCGTTGTTGTCGCTGTGGAGACCGGTTGCTTTGAGGGGGAGGCGCAGGGTGCCGTTGTTGGGGGCGGGTTGAAGGTTGATGGAGTCACAGATTATGTTGTAGAGTTCGATGTTTTCTGTTGGGTGGGGGGTTAGTGGATGTGTTTTTTTCCTACTTGCAAAGTCTCACGTTCGATGGTCAACTTACGGAATGGTTCCATCCGGCTATTGGGTTCATGCGGGAAGGCTGGGCCTCTGGCTATGAAAATGGCACGCATAAGTGGGTGCTCGTGGTCGTAGCCGTGGAGACCTCGAGGATGATAGACTTCATGATTCTTTTGGCCTTTTTCAACGTTCCACTGGTCTTTCGTAACGATTGCCCAACCTGTCTTGGGTACTAGCCAGAGCGGAGCTATGCGTTTATTCTTGCTGAAATGATATCGCTCTGGCATGTTCTCATCGCGGAGATAGACCTCAATATTGGGATTGTCGGCAGTACGATTTTTGATCTGGTTGTATATGCGATGGAGAGCAGACGGGTCTTTAGGGCGAAGACCATAGAGAGGCCAACCGTCTGTATGCGATAACTCTGCAGGGTCGACAAGGTCTTCCAGTTGAATAAGACGAGTGGCATCGGTTGTTGCCATGCCGTGGTCAGACACTACTACCACGTTGACAATGTTTGTGAGATTTCGCTCCTGGAGGCCTTTAAAAATTTCACCCATCATGGTATCAGCTCGTGTGATGGTTTCCCGGATCTCCGTGCTGTTGGGACCATATGTATGACCATCGCCATCTACGTCGGGAACGTAAGCAGCAATGAGCTGGGGTCGAGGTGTAAGCGCAGTCGCACCGACATCCTTGGGGCCGGGCAGATCAAGTAAACCCATGATACGATCTACTTTCTTTGATAGAATTTCCGAACCGTTGTATTTATCAACATATGCAATTTTCTGATCCAAAATGTTGGCTTCGGAACCTGGCCACATGTGCACTGCTGCCCGGACATTCTGCCTTTCTGCCGTTACCCAAAGGGGTTCACCTCCCCACCAGTGCGGCTGCAGGCTTTGCGCAGGATGTGTGTAGTAGAATTCCTCCTCAAGTTCCGGGTCCCAGAATGTGTTGGATACAATTCCATGCGCTTCAGGATACAACCCAGTCGCGAGCGTGTAATGGTTCGGAAAGGTCACACTAGGGAAACTAGGCAGCATGTACTTGGGCGATATGCCCTCTCGTACAAACTGATTCAGTGTGGGCGTAAGATTGCGGTATAGAAAGTCGGCGCGAAAGCCGTCGAGAGATATGAGGATTGTGGTAGGCGCAAATAGCGAAGTACCATTCGATACCAGGGCGGCAGCGTCTTTGACATCTTGTGGGGTAGAGAGGTTGTATGCGGTTGCTAGGAGGACGACGAAAAGAACAATTATGGCTACGTATATGCCTATCCGACGGTATATGCCCTTTCTCTGTGCCTACACCAACTGTTAGTTTTCAGGGCGCATACAGGGGTGCCCAACTCACCCTTCGCTGCGATTCATTCGCGAGCAACCGTCGTTCGTCGCTCTCTGAATTTCTCGGTATAAAGCTCGTGCTCGAGGCCCCGGTCCCCTCTTCCATGTCATACATGAGAGCGCTGGACTCTTCCTTGCTGCCATGCCTGCGCGCTTTCGCCTTCTCCTTGGCCCATTTCCCAACCTTGACACCTGAGCCTTTACGACCCAAGAAGCCTGTCCTCTCCTGGTTTTGTGTGAGGAGCTTTTCGCGCTCATCTTCCGAGTCTAGTATATCGTGGTCGTTGTGGGATAGTTCACCCGATGGCCTGCCATCGTAGCCCTCGTCGTCGGAGCTGTGGTCGTAAAGCGTGCGTTCGTCGGTACCCGCGTCTGAGCTTGCGATCCTGTGCAAGTCATCTTGCGACCGTGTAGCCATGATTGTTTCTTCAAGAGCAATAATACATGGCTATGCGAGAGGCCAAGATTGCGCAAAAGAATCGTGTCCGAGAGTGTAGGGCGTGCCAGCGACCCTGTTGCTTGGCGTCCGTGTTTCACTTGTGGAAATACCAATCATGGCCATGCATGGACAATTAATTATGTCCAAAAGCAATGACAGCTGGCCTAATGCATAGTATGATGATTGCAGATAGCACTAAACAATGTGGGGGGAATTGTTTAGCTGTAGAGTGGTTTTGATTGCCTGCGCGACATGAGCGCGTGCATGTGACTAAACTGATCGCCGTCCAACCTATCTAATAATACCCTAGCACTCTCAACACTATTTATGCAACTAATCAGGACATTAAAAACGCCGGATTTCCATCAGCGTCAATCCATTCCAGTCCCGAGCTCGATACTTTCCCTTTAGAACACAGCCACAAGACCAACCATGTATGCTCTACTATCTCTCCCCAGCAATACAGCTTCACTTGGCCCAATGAGCGAGAAGTGCGACCTTCTCGGTACAGCATCACGCCCCAGCCGAGTTTCCCACTCGTGACTTGCTCACACAGGTCGTTCCAAAATGCCTGCTGAAGCTGCGCGCTCCAGTGCGAACAGCTGACTGACCAATATCCACGATCATCGGGTTTCGGCTTCTTCACTATCCTGATTGGCTTGAAACGCTTTGGATTTTGCTGCTTGAGTGCTGCTAGTTGTGGAGTGATTTGAGAAGGCAGAGTGCCCGGTCGCTCTGTTGATATCTTAGGTTCTGGTGGATAGACGTCGATCTCAAGCTTGGAGAAATCTATAGGTGGAGCGATTTGGCTACTATCTTCAGGGTCTTTTTCCTCACAGGTCGTATGCCATGATGCTGGCGACGATGGATTCAAAGCATCGTCTAGACTGACAGGCCTCTGGGATGTTGCAGTAGCATTGGGTTTTGCAGACAGCTTCGCAGTAGGCATGGGCGTCTCTGATACGATACTCGCCGCTTTTAAGCGCATACTTCGTCGCCGTTCTGGAAAGCCTTCTTTCGTATTAGGTGTTGTTGTGACTAACGCCTCAATAGTGCTATCTTGAATTCGTTCTTCATCCGTACCACTTGCAGATGTATCGTCATAGCCCTTCAGATAGCTGTCCTGTAATTGACTTTGGAGAACTCCAGTAGCCGGCTGCGTGTCCTCAACAAAGCCCAGGTCGACATCGCCTGGAGTACCTGGAGCCTTTTCCGCTAGCGGGTTTCCCTTGATGGAGCTCGACCTGAGGTTCCTTCGGTATTTCCCATCATGGCGTGCATGCTCTGATTGAGCAAGTCGACCGGACGTGAGCGGTGAATCATCTTTGACTAGACGACCATCGGACCGAACAGTAGTATTCTCATGGTTCTTGAGTCCATCCAAAGATAAATGTGACGGGAAGCTACCGTAGGAATCTTTGCTTATAGATAAGTTGGAAGTGTCTGCGATGCCTTGGAATGAACTCCCTTGATCTAGAGCCGTAACATCATTTAGCCTGGGCGGGGCAGATTGATTCGCAACATCAATATGTCGGGAACTTCCCCGATGGGATAAATCTGCCTCAAATGTAAGATAGGCATCGGCCAAAGACTGGTAGAGTTGGTCGCTTTGTCGCGTAGTTGGGGCAGAGATGTGAACCAGCAGTTCGTCAATCATGGTTGAGGTCGACCAGATGTAATTGATACAGTCGTATAGCCATGATAATATTGCAGTTACTCAGTCCATGTGATACGCGCGATGGACGATTCAGAATGCGAGGTTTATATCGAAAATGCAAGTGAGAGGAGGAGATGCAGGCGTGAGAGCTGGGGTAGCTTGGCAACCCTGGCCTGTGCACGTCCCCATCTATCGAATCGCGATTCTCGAGACAACAAAATTTGACCTATTAGGTGACAATTTGTCTCACATTGTAAAAAAGTATGTACTTTTTTTCGTACCATAAAGACAACGCGCATTGAGTGCTGTCATTCAATGATATGTCGTCTACCATGCATGTAGTCATAGACCCAACCCTACGGATATCGCTGGAAAGAAAAGAAACATTGCCCATTTGCTCGATACAACTCTACTCATCATTATCTTCAGTCGGCGCCTGTAGCTCCTCGATTTCCTCCTCATCAAAGGTATTGAGAGGGACAGAGTACAAGCGGAGAAGAGGCTTGTTGGGGTCCTTGACAAGAACGTACTTGCCATCGTCCATGCGAAGGACCATATCGACAATGGTACGGACGATAGCCCATCCGTTGTTGAGGTTGAGGGCCATCTGGGCAGCGAAGTCGCGGGGCTTGTTGGTGAGAACACCGAGGATGACGTGGTCATTGTTGTTCTTGGGGTTGGCACGAGATACGAAACTACACCTTTGTTAGCAATTTCTCAGCAAGAACAATCGTTAAACATACCCAAGCTTCATAGTGTCAGCCTTGGCGAGGATACTCTGCACAGTCCATCGAGCAAGCTTGCAAGAGTTGTTCTTCATTTCAGTAGCAAGGACAGCACCTCTCTGGCTTGCAAGCTTGGTCCTCCAGTCCAAAGCTCCGCCGGCACCTTGGGCCTTGTTGTCGAATTCGTTAAGCGCCTTGATCGTCAGGTATTGGTCCTCGCCGTTGATGTTGTTCTTGACAACAGCATCAAGCTCAGTCCGGACAATGAGGTGCAGTGGTTCCTCGTCCTTGTCCAGAGACAGATCAAATCGGCGGTACCTGTATGCCTTGGACGCTGGCGGGTCGGTCTCGACCTCCTCGTTGTAGAAGGGGTGCTCATGGGGCATGTTAACCTTGTTGGTCTCGGACTCGGTAACGACCTGGAGAGGGAAGACGTTGTTAATGTGTGTGGCCTCGAGCATCAGAGCGCCCGGGCTATTGATCGAGTCCTTGTTGCCCTCGGAAATCTCGAGCGGCGCATCTGCAGCGTTCTCGTTGACAGTAACCATGTCCAGGCTTGATCCATCGCGCTTATCAATGAAAACCTTGTTGTCCCTCTTGGTGAAAACCAAATCCCACGAGTAGACGGACTTGGTAGCGCACATGAGCATTGAAAGAATGTTGTCTGTAGCGAAGACAGTAGCCTCGTCTTTGTCGGCAAGCTCCTGCAGAACAGGGTCGCTGGAAGTAGTGACATTGTAGGCGGCACGGTCGAGGACGTTGAGTCTGCGTTCGGAAGTCTTAGCACCGGGCTGCTTGTCGTAACTGCGATCGTAGTAGTAGAGGAAGCCGTATTTGTCGATGTCCTCGCCCTCGTGGGTGTCGAGATTGAGCTTGCTGAGACGAGAGAAGTCAATTTCCTCCATAACGCTCCACTCGGGCTTGACCTGCACGGAGGCATCGCGGTTACGCTGGGGCTTGTCATCCCTCCAGCCAAAGCGGCGTCCTCCTCTTCCACCACGGCCACCGCGGTTGTCGTACTGCTGTCCGCCACGGCCGCCAACACGCTGGAAGGTACCCCGTCCTCCTCGTTGCGCCTGTCCGCCACGCGCACCACCGCGTCCACGGAAAACAGTGCCGCCACCGCGTCCGAAGCCTCGTCCTCGGGCCGATGTTCGTGTGTTGTCGACAACGGAGAAGGTTGCCTCCTCCTCGGCGGCCTGGATAGCGAAAGGGTTGGTCTGTTGGTTTGCACCGTACACTTGCTGGTCTGTGGAACTTCATTAGTCTCTTGCGATCATCTCTCTCGGCCCAAATCCAAACGTACCCCGGTAGTTGCGGTTGCCATACTGCTGGCGTCCTCCCCGCTCACGGTCCTTGCCCTCAGTCCAGTCAGCCATGCGACCCAGTTTGTCGGCCTTGGAGTAGGGCGCAAAGGGCACGCCATCGAGCATCGTCTCATTGGAGACTGGGGGACCCCATGCTTGGGTATCGGGGAGCGCGGACACGAGGTCCAGAAGGGATGCTGGAGCCATGTTGTCGAGTCGTGGTTCTGCTGTCACTCGCACTTGGTGGTCGCTGCACACGAAATTGCTCGAGGTGGGCTGCCAAGATTACGCCGCTAAGGAAAAGCGAAAGTCCGTACCCCGCGCTAGCACCCAGCCCTGCTACTGGTCACTCTGCCTGTCTGGTACCAACTACATGTGTTCTCTAGAGTACTACAGCCGGCATCAACGCATATCACAGCAATGAGAGAGTCTTTAAGCTCATTGCCAGGAGCTCTATTGCATCATCGGTTCTCATATAAAATGGCTGCGATTTGAGACAGCTGCACTACGCGCCGAGACTTTGATTTTCATTGGAACTAACAGGTCGCTCCTCTTGAGATCAACTGCCCAAGATTGGAGTTAAACATAGGATTGCAAACAAAGGCATTGCATGTGTAAAAGAGAACTCGGCGCAGAAACTCGACGTTGATGATTTGCCGTCTAGCGCCTCCTCGATGCATGAGGCAAACAACAACAAGATGCTACATTGTCTTCTTCGACTTCTCTGCCTCTTCTCGCATTTCCTCTTGGTCGTCTTTGAACGCCATAACGACGTATGCAATCAATACAACATTCGCCATGAGTGCTGCAAGACCACCGGCGTACGTTGCGTTGCCTGTACAAAGTCAGCAATCCCCTGGGACACATGACCAAGTGCTTACCCTGGAAGACAAAGTTGACGGTAAAGAAGTAGGTGCCAATAGGCAAAGTGATCATAGCAAAGGTAAAGCTCATCAACTTCCAAATAACGGACCTGTTGGCATGAGCCAGTGTAATGTGCACAGCATCCAAGACAACTCACGTCGGCACCGCCGGTGAAATGTTTGATGGCCCTGGTGCACTCTTCCCATCGTACTCTAGAGAGGACTTGCCTTCGCCGACATTTCTTCTGGTCGTCATGTTGGTGGTGTGTGCGAGTAACGTTGTGTGGTGTCAATGGCGTATGTACGTATGCAAGCGACTGGCCCTGGCACAGCCAAAAGCAGTAACGTAATGGGCGCACTGGAGGTCCAAGCGCCCAGATTCTCCCCAACGCGTTGAGTGCTTTCTTCACGCGTAGTCATGTTTTTGGCGATCGCCGCCACTGGTTTTTAATTACCCTCTTTTTCCTCCTTGCTCTTCTGCATAGCACACGCGTACTTACAGCGCAATGTCAGCCGATTTGTAGTGCATTGTCCTTTGTCTTAGCTTTGTTCTGTTAAACCCTGTCCACCAATCTGTCGCCTTCTTCCGTAACTACACGCGAGGCGGCCAAGTCGACGACAGTGCTTTGGCCCCCTTCAACCCAACTAGGTACTGCAGCACTGTCACACAATGTACCGTCGCGACCCTATAGTCTCTTCATCGCCTCCTCCTCCTGTCGGATCACGCGCTACTTCGCATAGCGACGACGACGACGACGACCAACAGGATCCTTACGTCACTCAGCCTACGCAAATTCTCGCTGAACACTCACCCTTCTTCCCAGCGCCTTCTGATACCACACAACCCACGCAACCCACACAAATCCTCACACCGCGCGCGAACCGAGTCCAAAACACAGCCTCCTCGCAGTTGCAAGTCCCCCGCTCGTCTCCCACTATCCAGCGGTACTCGTCGCCCGTCATGTCGCCAACCCAGTCGCAACGGCCGTATGGAGGCTACAGCAACCCAATGGCACCTCCTGGTACAAGTTTTTTCCCTCCGCAAGCCGTTCGCAAGCCAATAGTCGATTTGACATCGGACGACCCCCCTGTCGAACGCGATCCAGACGAAGACGAGTCTGAGTACAGGTCTAATATACCACTGTCAAAAATCGAAATGGGCTCCATGGCGTCTAGGATTGAAGAGACGCCACAGAAACCAACGTGGGATCTATCCGGATTCAAGTACAATGGTGACCAGTCGCGAAAACGACCGTCTGAGGGACCTGCCTCGAGTTCGCCACCGAAGAGACAAAAGCCCCTACCGCGGCAAGGGGGACCTTCGCGCGCTCTGCCTGTGGATTTGACAGAAGATTCAAACATGACCTTGGAGGATATAACAGACTTTGCCATGCAGCGCAACGTAAAGCGGTTGCAGGCCATATATCCGAATCGCTCGGTGAAGCAGCTACATGAAGCCCTACTTAAGAAGAAAGGCGAATTTTCAGATGCATGTTCGTACTTGGCAGAAGAGGAGTCTGAGGACGAGTTGCTTCGGTCCCCACAGCTTGGAGTGGCCCAAAGCAAGTCAATACCGATTGTAAAGAAGACCGCACAGCGTGGTTTGAAGCAGCCTGTGCAGTCATTACAGAACAAATATTCAAAGTTGGGAGCGACTCAGAACAGTCCTGTAGTGATTGACAGTCCCGAGAAGGAAGCACCAAAACGGAAAGGCAGACTTGTTAGCGGAAGAGATCGCAAGCCGAAGATGGCGTTTTCGTCCTCACCAGAACCCGCTCCACGACCGCAACAACATTCGAAGAAGCAAGCGCCAATTATGGTCTCTTCAGATGAGGATGAGGGTATCGATGCAGAGCTTGTGATTGATGACGACTCCGAGGCAAGCGCAGCTCCAGAGAACAACTTCAGCGACGATGCATTGTTGAACTTCTTCAACACTTGCACTGTGGAGGCTATGGTGGACTTGTCGAGTCACAAGGAAGAAGACATCAAAGAGATATTCAAGGAACGCCCGTTCGCCTCGCTTGATGCTGTTCGAAACATTCACGTAGACCTCGCACCAGCCGAGAAAAGCAAGAAGAAGGCTCGAAAGCCGCGTATCACAACAGGTGCAAGGCTTGTGGAATCTACTGAAGGCATGTGGAACGCCTACTCGACCATTGACTCGGTGGTGAAACAATGTGAAGCCCTTGGAAAACCAATGGTTGCGGGCATGGCACGATGGGGAATCGACATTTTCGGCGCATCTACTGAGGAAGGCATGGACGTTACGAGTCTCGACGATAGCGATACCAACTCAGCACGGGATTCCGGTTATCATACACCAAAGAGCAGCAACAGCAGCGATACCGAATCCAAGGGCATACGCAAAGCAGTCGGTCGTACAAAGCTGCTCAAACAGCCCTCGATCATGAATGACGACATTGAGCTCAAGGACTACCAAGTCGTCGGTCTTAACTGGCTCAATCTTCTCTGGCAAACTGAGACCTCTGGCATTCTGGCTGACGACATGGGTTTGGGAAAAACCTGCCAGATCATTGCTTTCTTGTCGCATCTGAAAGAAGAGGGTAGCGGAAAGCCTGCACTCATTGTTGTACCTGGATCGACTCTAGAGAACTGGTGTCGTGAGTTTGAGCGCTTTTCAAGCTCCATCAACTTCACACCATACTACGGATCTCAAGCTGAACGTTTCTCGCACCAGGAGAGCATTCACCAGAACATCAGGCAGGGAACGTGCGACGCAATTATCACAACGTACGATCTCACATTCAGGAAAGAAGACCTAATCTTTCTCAAGAAATGCAGACCTGAAATCTGCATTTTTGACGAAGGACATATGCTGAAGAATGCTAACACGATTCGATACAAGAGCTTGATGAAGATTCCTACCAAGTGCAGGATTCTATTGACTGGCACCCCGCTGCAGAACAGTCTCCAAGAACTCATGTCCATTCTTGGGTTCTTGATGCCGCAGGTGTTCTACGGCGATCAGCAGGAGGAAGTTCAGGAGATGTTACAAATATTGTTTAAACACAAGGCTAAGACTATGGAGAGCGATTCGCACAGCTCTTTGTTGTCTGCTCAGCGTATCCAGCGTGCTCGTACCATGTTGACACCCTTTATTTTGAGGAGGAAGAAGGCCCAGGTGCTCAAGCACCTGCCGAAGAAGACTTCTCGCGTCGAATACTGTGAGCTCACAGATACACAAAGGACCCTGTACAACGAGCAATTAGCGAAGCAGCGCAAGATTCTCGAGGACAGGGCTGCCGGCATCGCTGTCAAAGACCATGCCAACGTGATGATGAAGCTTCGCCAAGCAGCCATCCACTCACTCCTGTTCCGTCATCGCTACGACAACAATACCATCCGGAAAATGTCAAAGGCCTGTCTCAAAGAAGACATGTTTGCTGAAAGCAACCCAGACATTATCTACGAAGAGCTGGAGCTCTACCAAGACTACCAATGCCACCAACTCGCCACCAAGTACCGAGCGCTCAAGAAGTTCGAGCTCCAAAACCACGAATGGATGGACTCGGGCAAAGTCACTGCTCTCCTCGCCCTGTTGAAAAAGTACAAAGAAAACGGCGACCGCGCCCTAGTCTTTAGTCAATTCACCTCTGTCATGGACATCCTCGGCTGGGTCTTCGACGACCACGACATAAACTTCATGCGCATGGACGGCTCCACCCCGATCCAAGAGCGCCAATCCCTCATGGACATCTTCTACCAAGACGAATCCATCCAGCTCTTCATGATCAGTACCAAGAGCGGCGGTGCGGGTATCAATCTCGCCTGCGCAAACAAAGTCATCATCTTTGACTCGAGCTTCAACCCCCAAGACGACATTCAAGCCGAGAACCGTGCCCACCGCGTTGGCCAGACGCGCGAAGTCGAAGTCGTCAGACTCGTCACCAAGGGGACCGTCGAAGAACAGATTTACGCCCTCGGCATCAGCAAGTTGGAGCTGGACAAGATGGTCCAAGGTGAAGACGAGGGCGCGCCGAAAACTAAAGGGAAGAAGAAGGATGAGCCGGGGGCTGCGGGTGCAGCAGCGCTGAGTAAAGCCGAAGAAGCGGGTATGGCGGCTGTCGAGATGATGATGATGCAGCAGTTGCAGTCGCCGCCTGATGACAAGAAGAAGAAGAAGAGTGGTGGTGCTACGGCGGATATCAAGGAGCAGTTTCTCTCCGGTCTCAAGAGTGCGGGGTTGGATGTCGCTGCGTAGCACGATAGTGTAACAAACTTTCTTGTTTATTTTTTGAGTACTTGTTCTTTGTACGCGTTCTCGATTCCCACTCCGCCTAGGAGCTTCAGATCATGGGGGATTTTTTTTTCTTACCAGACAAAACGAACGAACCTGCACCTCTCTGTTTTGTTTTAAACACATATGTCTTATGTCAGAAGCCCACCACTAGATAATGTTTGTCTCCAACGAAAAAAAACCCCCCCTGGTTCGATAATTATTTTGTAACATGTGTTTCCACATCCACACTTTTCTGTTTTCTTTCTCTGTAACGTACATTAAACCTATACCAACGAACCGAAAGAGAGAGAGAGAAAAACGCATCCAACGAGCAATCAAGCAAGGCGGCGTTTCCAAGTAAACCCTTTTTCTTTGCAATCCGTAGCAAGAGAAGAAGAAGAAAAATTAGAAAGAAGAAATGTCGATTTCCAATATTTTTTTTTTTAAAAAAATCGAGACCACTTTCTCCTCTACAACATCTTCACTATGCACACACACACAGTCTCTCTCTTAACTTTGATAATATTCACTTGCAAGAAATTAAGAAACTTAAAACAAAAAAAGGCAGGATTAAAATACATACGACTAGTTTTGTTTTTCCATCTCTGACTCTCACTCTAAACGCTAAACATACATACTAAACAAGCAACGATGATAATGATAATGATGATGTATAGCGAGGGAATTGCGGTACTAGATATAGAAACAAAGAAAGAGGGAGAAGAAAAGAAAAGAAGAAAAAGAAGAAAAAGAAGAAGAAAGGAAAAAAAAAACTTTGTCAGATAAATATACCTGCGCCTTTCCCCACACACACACACACACACACACCCTTCGCTTTCTAAGCCCAAAAGAAAAGGCCTACTATGTACAAGTAAAAAAGTACCAATCAAAACCATCCATCCACAATATTTAAGACTTTTGTGAATTTGGGATTTCTAGGTATAAGAAGTTAAAAGCAAGACAGAGCGGCCCAAGTCTAGTCTTTTACACTGACACCGGCTTTATCCTGGGCTTTTGCAGGTTGTTCCTGGGTCTTGGGGTCCTTTTCATCTTTTTCTTCTTCTTTGCTACTTTCTTCTTCGTCATCGTCGCTGTCTTCTTCTTCGTCGTCGTCATCATCCTCTTCTTCCTCTTTTTTCTTCTCTGCTGGTACTGCTGCTTTTCCCTTTGCGGCTTCGCCCTCTGCAGATTCTTCTTCGGAGCTTTCTTCCTCGTCACTGTCCTCTTCGTCGTCCTCCTCCTCAGAAGTGCTTTCTTTGGTGGCAGCGGCGGCGGCAGCAGCAGCAGTAGTAGTCCCTTCCTTTGTGGCTGCGGCTGTGCTAGCATCTTTGTCTGTCTCCTCATCGTCTTCCTCTTCAGAGCTTTCCTCTTCAGAGTCTTCTTCCTCGTTACTACCCCCCTTTTCCTCTTCCTTTTCCTCTTTACTGGCTTCTGCCTGAGTAGTGCTAATCGGACCGGCACTCAGCGCGACATTCTTGGCGTCATCATGCATGGAAGGAGGTGTTTGGACGGGTTTTTGTACATCGGATATCTTGGGAATGCTCTTCGCAGCAGTTGCTTTTGTTGCCTTTGCATCCTTTGGCTTTGCATCCTTGGATTTGACCGCAGCTTTGCTAGCAGATGCCGAGGTCGCAGCCCTGCTGGTTGATGCAGAGGTTGCAGAGGTTGCAGTTTTGCTCGTAGATGTAGATGCCGCTTTGGGCTTGGCCTTCGGCGCAGTCTTTGGGACACCAAAGAGACCCGTTGTAGGTTTCCGCGTTGTTTTTGTTGTCGCTGTCGCCGTCGACGATGATGACGCTTTTGGTATTTTAGAGCCTGTGGTGCTTGTCTTGGTATCCTTTGGCTTGACATCTTTTGATTTGACGTCTTTTGCTTTAGTATCTTTCGCCTTGGTGTCCTTGGCTTTGATATCTTTGCTTGCAGCGGGCTTGACTATCGCCTTCACACCCTTCTTTACCTCGGTCTTAGCTTCGGTCTTTGATCCTGCCTTTGGTGCGGTTTTTGCTCCGGTCTTTGGTGCAGTTTTTGCCTCAGTCTTTGGCGCAGCCTTTGCTTCAACTTTAGCCTCAGGCTTTGTTTCAGTCTCTTCTTCGGTTGTCGCGTCAGCTTTTGCCTCAGTCTTTACTTCCGCCTCTGCCTCCGCATCCGCATCCGCATCCACTTCCTCCTTCTCATCTTCCTTTGCGTCTTCCTTGACTTCTTCCTTTGTATCCTCCTTTACGTCCTCCTTTACATCCGTCTTCGCTGTAGCATCAGCCGCCTTTGCATCCGCCGCGACGCTGGGTGTAGTCGGTGTCGCAACCTTGGGCGTATCAGGCAGGGGGACAGACCGGGGCGAAAGAACATTCTTCAATTCTTCCTTCAACGGACTCTTGAGCATCGTCGCAGAAGTCGGGGTATTCGTCTTCTCAGCCAACAACGGATTTGTAGTCTTGATATTGCCAGGGACGGGCTTCAATGAAGCTGCCTTCTTTGCTGCCTCAGCACCCAGCTCTCGCAGCGCGAGATTCGTCTCTGGGCTTAGAGTCGGGGTGTTGTCTTCCTTTGCAGCTGCGCTCTTGAGCGATGTGGGCGCGGTGGTGCTGGCGGAGGCTGCCATGGGCGGCGGCCCTGGTTTGGCGGGAAAGGGGGTGAAGGCTGAGGTCACCCCCAGCGCCTCTCTGATCTCGTCGTATTCGTTCCATTCTTCAATCTCAGTGATGCCCTGCGTCAATGTTAATCTTGATGTACTGGCTAAACCCTTTGTATTGTACATACACCTAGCACATATCCTTCCTTGACTATCAGGGGCAACTTCTTTCCACTTGCTCTCCGCTGGAACAGCTTCTTGGCTAGCTCGTCAGTAGCCGTGTCTACCCCTTTAAATGGGATCTTGTTCGCTCTGAGAATTGTCTCAATTCGCGAGGTGGCAGTGATGATGTGCGAAGATCCGGCGGTCAGGGATGTGAAGAGGTATATGGTCGGGTCATTGTCGTAAACGCTGAGTTCGGTCATGGCTGGAGCTCTGTTGGGGTTGATATAGTATGGACAGGTCTAATGTACAGAAGGCAGTTATGTGGAAGGCAGAAAACGTAACGAGAGAGATTAAATAGCACTACGCAGCTTTATGCAAGCATGGAACAAGTGGCAGCAATTGTGTGTTTCACGAGTAAGGTATGCTTCAGGGTCGAGGTGTCGAGCGCGAGCCCCTCGTTGGCGCGGGGTCTGGCTTGGACCCTGACTCAAAAATAGCCCGCCACATGCACAACAAAGTCTCCGACGCATCACCGTTCAGACTACATCGTTTCTTTTGCGAAAACATGGCTTGCATTGCTACTCTCCACTCCAACAAAATTACATATTATCCAAAAAAACAAACACAGGAATACTGCTTCCTGTTTCTCGCAAATATACATTATCCGATAGGTGGAGACCCATTTGAGAATTTGCCAGCAAGGACAGTTGTGAGTGCATCTCTGAGCTCAAACTCCTCGAGGACGGCGCCAAATCTATCAGGCATTAGCAGAGGCTAGTAGAAAGACACCCGGTACTTGTAACTCACCCGTAGCAGCGGACTTTGGCGAGGAGCTCTCCCTTGATGAGCTCGAAGTCCTCTTTGGACAGATCCTTCAGTCTGTCGTGCTGGAGGATCTTTGCCCAAGCCATGATGGGTGTAATCTCCCCGTCAAGGGGTAGACGATTGCTCAAATCCAGGAGCTTCATCAGATCCGGCATGTTGACGTCGGGCATCTGGTGAGGGTACTTCTCCTCGGGGCAGTTTGAGATGTGCGCATCAGGAGGGGCCGTGGCCATGAGTGCGTGGCCGCTAATGAGCTCGTCGGCATCATGGGCGCGTACCATTAGGAACTGCATGTGGTCCATACAGGGTCGCTCGAGCCTGTCCGACACGACTTGTCAGAGCATATCTTGTCAAGATCAAAGAGAAACGTACGAGAGTTGAAAGAAATAAGGTAGAAAAGACGTAAGCGCATTACTGCTGGGGTGGAGGAGAAAGATAGGGCGTTCGGTCGTACGTTAAAACGAAGTCTATGCCAATTTGGTCATAGTCCAGTCCTTGAGGCTGGTGATGGTGCTGCTGCTGCTGGGCTTGATGCTGCAGAGTCAAGGGCTGACCGCTCATGCCATCATGAGATGCCGAACCACGTGTTGGTGGTGAGGTGTAGCCAGTAGAGGCTGAGCCTGGCCCATAGCCTGACACGCTGCCTGTCGAACTTCCGTAAGTGGAGCTCCCAACTTGGGCCATGCCGTTAGAGGGCCGACCTGAAAGATCAAAGGCGATGCCGTGCGCCATGAGCAGCTCTCGGAGCCGCCTGTTCTCTTCGGCATAGGCATCACGTTCACGTGAAGTAGCGGCGAATGTGTCTTTGAGACGGATGACCTCCTGTTCGAGAGCCTTGATATACAGCTCTTTTCTCTCACGATGTGTTCTTGCAAACAAGTCAGCATGTGATTGACGTTGTGCATGGGTTTGCCGAGGTTACCTTTGCGCCTGACGATTCAGCTCTTGTCTGCGTGTCAAGGCAGGTTTGCTGTCGGGCTTGGGACCCCTTCTCTTTGGTGGTTGTCCATCTTATTTTGATCAGCAATTGTGAGTGAAACCAGACAGACAGACATGAACGGACCTCGGGTAGTCTTCTTGTCGGTTAAGCTCTTGAAGAAGCCAAACTGGGCTAGAGGACTCTTTGATTCGCTGCCTATGGATTGCCATTGCCCTGTACTCTCCACGTCCGGCGCGAAAGCAGCCAGGCTACCTCTCCTACTGCTTCCCATGCTTCCCATGCTCATCTCCGACAGACATTCAGAAGGTCGACGGGAGGCAGCAGGAGAAGGGTAGTCGGTTGCAGCGCCGGCAGGAGGGTAGGTGGGCGCCATGGTTAGCATGTGTGCATTAGGCCAGGACATAAAGCGCTGATGCGACATTGCGTCTATAGATTAGAAGTTGTTGGAAGGAAATAAAAACAAGGACAAGCGTTCTGTATGCGTTCTGTATGCGTATGTGTACCGAGCTTAGATGCGGGGAAGGGAAGCGTAGTATGGCCATGTATATGTAGCGTCCTCGAAGCCTTGTATTCAACTGAGGCAGGTAAAAAATCGTCGAGTGGCTTGTCGTTCATGCATCGTTGCCAACGGCCGGCACATAGGACAGCCGTGAGGCTCGACTGAACGCTTATACCGACATGGGAACGGCGGGCTTGCTCGAGACTCAATCTGTCTCTGCAGCGCCCGTTTAGGGTGTGGAGCAGAGATGGAAAGGGAATCGAAGCATAGGCGGCCAATCACGAGGCCGAGAGTCGACGTGCCAAGAAGATAATACAGGAGTCGCGAAGCGGAGACAAAACACAACAAACGTCAAAGAGGAGGGTCTTATTAAAGCGCGCCGCACCAGATGAAGGCAGGAAAAAAAAGGCAAACTCACCACTGCCGTTTGGATGACTCGAGTCACCGACCGAGGGGTCGGTCTTGATGGTTGCGGACATAGTACTATGTGCGCTGCATGGATCAGCACCAGGTGCAGTTTGGCAGCGGCGAAACCAAGAGTATCTTGTCTGCGAGCGGTCCGAAGGCTGCTTCGACGCTTTTGGCGGAGGAGCGTGGGTGGTGTGGAGAGTAGAGGCACACTAGCTGTCGACGTCTGTCAGCCCACACGCAATCCCTGTGCACATCCGAAACATACACACAGTCGTCCGATACTGCTTGCGACGGGGGGGGGGAGAGAGAGAGAGACAGCGTCCACAAAGGTCAGGCTCGCACTCTGGGTGCCGTTGTCTGGTACTCGAGCAGGCGTGCCCAAGGCTTTCCGTTGGATTCCGGATGCTGCTGAGGCGCACAGTCGAGGGATGGAGGGCGCGGGTGGGTGTAGCCACGGGGTGTGGAGCGGTTGTGGGCGTGGGCGAGTAGTGGCTGAGGCAATTGAGACGTGCGATGTGGTCTTGGCGTCGCAGGCGCGGAGAAGCTGGTGTAGCACAGCAGAGGACGGGGGATCTCTGGGCGACGACGGCTGAGAACAACTCTTACACTTGCGGTGCGATGTCGACGGTAGTTTAGTACCAATTCGCCCGCACAGCAATGCGCTACCCACCCAAGCTGATCGGCGCGAGGGCACAGGCCCACCCATGGATTTGGAAGACGAAGCGGCCAATGCACGGCAACAGGCCGATAGCAGCGTCTGGCCGAGCCATCAGCCCATACCCCCGCGGGCATGGTCGTGAGCCACCCGCCCCGTCTCGACTGATGTCTAGTGCATCGTCACTGTCCAGGTACCGCTCTGCCCTCCATGTACGTTGCCTGCATAGGGGCTCGGGCTAACCCCCGTCCTCGCCCTCTGTGTGTGTCCAGGTGGCGCACTGCCATGGTCATGGCCATGGCCACATGCATCCCCGCGGCACGGCGCCGAAGAAACTACCAAGTCCCAAACACTACCCACCAAAAGGCCGTGACCATCGGTTCGCTTGTCAAGTAGCCGTCATACAACAAGACCAACTAGTCTTGGCCGCTATAGACTCGCCGAAACACTTGGAACATGCTACTTGCCTGTTGTGGATACAGCACCTCAACTCTTTGCCTCGGGCCCGTCCTCATGGTAACTTTGCTATTTGTGTGAGTGTGTGTGCGAGGCGGCAAGGTTACGTGCATATTTCTATCTATTCGGCCTTGGCCTGACCTGATATGACCATGACGCCTCACCACGCACAAGAACATGACTCTGCGACCAGGATAGTATCATTGTTACTACTTACGGCTTGTTGCCAAGGATCTTCTCAATCTCCTCCAAGACGTCCGGAGTCAACTTGGGCAGCAGCTTCAGGGCAGCACAGTTGTCCCTGACCTGCTCGGGCTTTGATGCTCCGAGAATGACGGTGCTAACGTTGGGGTTGCTTGCAGCCCAGGCAAGCGCCAGCTGCGTCGTGTTGCCTCCAAGCCTCTCTGCAATCTTGGTAAGCTCCTTGACCTTCTTGATCTTGGCCTGTCCCTCGTCACTCTTGAGCTCCTCAATCGTCTTCTTGAAGAAGTCGGGGTTGGTTGCAAAGCGGCTGTCCTCGGGGATACCGTCATTGTACTTGCCCGTAAGCATGCCACTTGCCAGAGGGCTCCAGATGGTGGTGCCGTATTGGTACTTCTTGTACAGTGGGGCGTACTCCTTCTCGAACCTCTCACGGTGGAAGGCATTGTACTGCGGCTGCTCGACGACTGGTGCAATGAGGTTATACTTCTCTGCTATGTCGCACGCTTCCTGAATCTGCTCTGCAGACCACTCCGAAGTGCCCCAGTAGTAGGCCAAGTTCATGTTGATCGTCTGGGTGAAAGCCTCGACTATCTCCTTCATTGGTACACTAGAAGAAGCACATAAGCAAACGCACTGAACCCAAAAAGGCGTGTCACTACATACTCGGGGTCGAAGCGATGAGCAAAGACAATGTCCACGTAGGAGTGCTCAAGTCGCTTCAGAGAGCTCTTCAAACCCTCGACAATGTGCTTCTTAGACAAACCCCTGTGTACTGGTTAGCCAAGAAGGAACACGGGATTGGGGGTCCACTTGCCTGGTGTTGGGCTCCTGCCTCCGTGTTCCAAAAAAGACCTGTCAATCAAACGTGTCAGCCTGAACCATGGAATGGTGTTGCACATGACGGCACTTACCTTTGTTGACAAGACGTACTCGTCACGCGGCCATTGCAGCTCCTTGAAGGCCTTGCCCATTTCGATCTCACACTCGCCAGCAGCATAAACCTCGGCAGTGTCGAAGAAGTTGATTCCGTGGTTCCAGGCCTCCTCCATGCAGTCCTTGACGATGGAGCCCTTCTGGGTTCCTCCGTACGTCAACCAGCCGCCAAGGGACAGGACAGAGACCTTGAGGCCGGCAGGGCCCAGGCGCCTGAACTGCATGTCCTTGGGGTCGAACTTGGTTTCTACAGGCATCTTGGTGGTGTCTTGAGGGGATTGGGCTGGTAAGAAGAAGAAGCTTCAGAGTGTCAGGGAGTCAATTGCGGGCACTGGACGGGCATGAGGGGCAGGACATTTGGAGGGCAGTTGGTGGGGCAAGCCGCGGCACGGCTTAATGATGTCACGAGCTATGCATAAAAGGCAGCTCCAGCTGCCGACATAACTAAGGCAAGCAAGAGGTGGCTAGAGCAGAAGTAGTGTACAGCTACTAAGCTTTGGTGAGCCGCGGCCCGCTGCTGGCCAGAGACACGGACGCAGAGATTGAGATCTAGACAGCTGAGCGAGGCTTAACCCATTAGTAAACACGCAGCCGTCGCGCATAGCCTTGGCGCTCCAAAGGAGAGAAGGCGCGCAGGGCGCAGGGCGTCAACTTTGTGGCTTGCAGGTGGCTCAGTCGCACGTGCGCCCGCGTCCAGCCAGATCAGGCCGCCTGAGACAAGATGAAGGGCTGGTCAGCACGCTGCAATTATGCCCCGCTGCCGGCAGCCAGCCAGCCAGCCATGCGCTGTCTGCTGAACCTGAACAGGATGCCCCTACGTTGCACAACGGCCTTGCAATTTTACTTGCACTGGTGCTAGAGTCGATTTTGACAGTTGTTGAATGGCATTGGCAAAGGCTTGTCGCCGCCTGTTTCACGTTTCGAAACACGACCACCAGCTGAACTGCCCTCGTCCAATCACACGCCCACAACGCCCGGTCACGTGCACTACCATCGCGTCCGACGGAAATGATTGGCGGTGGCGGCTTGCTGATCGGTGGTTACGCCTACACCACTCCTGAAGGGCACATGGAGTAGGACGCCTGAAGGAACCAGTCCACAGTGTGCACCGCCCTATATCTTGGGCGTTTGCTTCCTCATCACACTGCCTCATTGTCCATCCTTGAATTCTTTATTTAGCCATTCATTTTCTGCGGGGCAGAAGAACAGACCATTCACGCCTATTCTGTTAAGAGGCATTGTATATCCATTCTTTTCTTCTACATAACAGACCATTCACTCACACTCACTCTCTACCGTTGCCTATTTATTCATACCCGGTCTCCTACCCACAACCACCAAGAATTCATTTTCAACACCACCTCCAAATTTTACACATCATCAACATGGGCTTCAAGAAGAACCTTTTCTGTGCGGGCGCTTTCGCCCTTGGCGCCCTTGCCGCACCCCTGCCTGACTGCCCGGATCGCGCCCCAGCTACCGGTCCTACAGCCCTGACTGCGGCCACGCTGATCGCCATCGCCCCCAAGACCGAATCCTGCGCAGGTGCGGACTTCCCGGAGGAGTGTGCAGATGCATCAAAGGCCGCCACGGCCTTGAACAGTGCATTCAAGACCTACAAGATTACCTCAAAAGGAGAACAGGCCGCAATCGTCGCCTACGAGCTGTTCGAGAGCGGCGATTTCAAGTACAACAAGAACCACTTCCCCGGTCGCCCTGGCCAGGGTACAAGGAGTAAGTAGCACCACTACCCATAATGCAACAATATGCATGCTAACCACCTAACCTTTTTTTGTAGTGATGGCCATGCCCAACTACGTCGAGCAGTACGCCACCAGTGTCGCTGGCGCTGATGCTGTTGCAAAGGCCAAGGCTGCAGGAGGTGACGCCGGTTTGGTAGCCGTGCTTGCCCTTGTCAACAGCGACGATGCGAAGAGCTTCGGCAGTGCAGCCTGGTTCGTAAGCACCGTGTGCAGTGCTGAAGTACGCGCCGGCCTTGCTGCTGCGACCAAGGACGGCTGGGACAAGTTCTTGAGCGAGTGCGTCGAGACGCCCGCTGACCCTGCACGCGACCCTGCCTGGACTGCTGCCATTGCCAACATCAAGTAAAAGGCTACTAGACTTTGTTCCCTGCCTTGCTGGATTTTTTTTCTTTGGCAGCCTGGTGCACCTTTTCTCTTCTCCCTTCCATACTTTACCATTATGGTTCTTCATGTCAACTTTTTTCAAAACATATATATATACCTGTAGCAATTCACAATTGACCATACTTCTCACATGAGTGGCGTTGTGTTTATTCATTTATCCCGTGCTCACAATGAACCATGCTCAAGCTAAGGTCAAGTAACGCTTACGTGTTTGTGTAGTGTACATTGCACCCGGATTGTGGACAAAATCAAAACAGACTCACGCATGGCGCTGCAGCCCTTGTGGCGTCAACCAACCAGGAGACAGTGACATTGACTGTCAATCAGCGTAAACTCAAGTCTAGCAAAATCAAGAGCTTGAGATGTAATTTCCGCATTGTTCAGATTGAGCTACCTGCAAAAGAGGAACAATCGGACTTTGATGCTCTCTCCTATACTTGGGGCGCCCCTGATCGTGTATCCGCCCTATCGTCACTCACACGCGCCCGTCACTGGTGGCTCCTGTTACCAACTTTCTCTCTCTGAACCTGCTCCTTCAGTGGGGAGCGAAGGAAGGAGACTGTGGTGTACGAAAGTTACACGCTGGTTGTAGCCATCCGAGTACGTGAGAGCAGCTGATCCTCGACATGTACATGAGTGTTGAGTTATTTGCCTCACAGACCCCTAGCGTCACAACGTTGCGGTGTCCTCCGGAGAATATTAGGCCTTGGAGGTACTTGCTACACCGAATGCTGACTCTGATCGTATGCAGGACCCTCTCGGCGAGATGGTTGCATAAACCAATGTACGTGCAGCTCACGCCAACCGTCCCTCAAGCCTTCTCATGCATGTCAGCTAGTTGTTGTTGTTTTTTCCAATCTCCTGCAATATATCCTTCTTTTCTCGCCGTCTCAACGGAAGCGGAGAATTAATTTTCTACCACCAAAAGCGAGCAAATCGTTTTTTTCCAAGTATTCGTAAACCAAAATTCTCCTCATGTTTTTTCCGGATCTTGTCAATGTAGATTACGGAGACCGAAGGATACCGTTCAAACTCGACTTTTGCACTCTTGTAGAATGCCCCCCCCCCTCTAGGATGGACTGGCCAGCGTCGCGGCTGGCGCTTATCCAGATTTAGATAGCTGGTGAAAGGATCGTGTCACGTGATGCGAATAGTCCACACCAAAAACTATTCCGAACCACAAAAAAAGCGGCACCAGACTCGATAGTCATGTGACCAAACCCGGACTTTGAAATCCGGCTAGACGTCACAGAGGAGCGTTTCGAGGTCACAGTAAGGTTTGAAAATGTTTTGTAAAACGCGCGTTTCACTGAACACGATAGCGTTTTTTTGAACTGGCTGTTTGAGAACGGTAGCCTAGATCTAGTTAGTCAAACGCAAATTGCAAACGCAAAACACTGAAATGAACAGGCCATACGTGACTGTGGGGTGGGTGGGGCGTTGCGGTCAACAGATGTTGCTGAGGATGAAATCAGTTTATCCAGGTAATTTGCTATCTCACTGTGATTAACACCCTGGGATGGCCGTTACCTTCCAGCGTGAGCCTAGGTAAGCCCTGTAACCACTCGTCTTCCTTACTAGAAGATGAGTCTTTCCTGGTGTTACTCGTAACAGAAGCGTAGGATAGAGGGATAGAGGGCTAGAGGGCTAAAACGTGCTAATCTATATCTAGCCAGACAAAGGAGTTTCGCTATAGGAAAGATGAAGGGAAAAGCGTACTATTTCCTTACCAAGTAGGAAAGTGGGGCGGTTAAGGGGCTTGGCTATGGGATTGCTATGTTACATTCGTCTATTTAAGATCTAGCTTTATGCTGGTGTAACTAGTTTCCGGTCTGTAAACTTCACCTTGAGTTCTACTGGTCTAACAAACCAGCCGTTACGGAAACGAACTTCACGAGACCCTTCGTCCAATTCAAGCTGAGGGATAAATTAGTAATTGGCTTATTCAATGCAGGAAATGTTTACTCACCTCCCATCTTCGAAGAACTGCTGGAATGAGCTTGTAAACCTCCATCATACCAATGTGCTTTCCGAGGCACACGCGCGGCCCTTTGCCAAAACTCATGATGTAGTAATCCATGTCTTTGATTCGAGCGATTTCTGCCTCTCGATCTTTGGACGGGTCCACAAGCCAACGTTCTGGTACGAAATCATCGAGGTTCTCGCCGAAAATCTCGGTACGGCGGTGGATAACCCATGCATTGCACCCGACAATTGTTCCTCCTTTGATGAACTCACCGTCGATGAGCACACCCTCTGGTGGAACAACTCTCTCGAATGGCAATCCTGGGGCGGGGTGGAGGCGGAAAGCTTCTTTGATGCAGGCATCAAGGTAGGGAAGTCCCTGGCTCTCTTGCCACGTGACTGTACCTGTTGTAGTATCTTTGAAGTGACCTTCCAATGCTTTGCGATCGAGTTCTTCGTAAACCTTTTCCAAGCATCTGGGGTTTCTCAGAAGCGAGGCGAAAACACCACTCATTGATACGGCTGCAGGCTCAGATCCAGCAAAGGCCATGGAGACGCACATGGTAACGACAAGTTGATCGTTGAAAAAGTCTGGCCTGTCATGTTTGGCCTGGATGAACTTGGAGAGGAAGTCCTGTGGCATATTCGTATCGTTTCTTTGCCAAGCAAGATTTTCTTTCGAGAAGACCGTCCCGGAAGGATGCCGTTCGGCAAGGCGGGCTTTGGCGAAGCTTGCAACAGGATACGAAGAGTCGATCAGTCCGTACTTGGCTGCAAGCAGTTTGATTGGGTTCTTTTTCCATAACTTGTCCAGAACAGGAATCTGTCCCACCTGTTTGCTGCTGTTAGTTCGGTACATAGAAAGTGATGTATAAATTATTACGTACCACAGCAGCATAGTCGAATAGGGCGGAGTTTCCCTTGACGATTCCCTCGATATCATAGTTGCTCTCCAAAAAGCCATGCCTTTTAGAGTAAACTAGTTCACCGATAACGTCGAAAGTGTAGAATTGGAGCCACTGGTAGAAGTCGCAGTATTTACCGGTATTCGAAAATCGTTCCTGTGTCTGGTGGAGGAATACTTCGTTCACTGAGTCGAAGATAGGCTCATACTGCATCTGGGCCGACATGGAAAAGACGCTGTTAACGCTGCGCTTCAACTGGGAATGATATTCTTCCGACTGGGTGCTGAATAGTGTTGGGAGCTTCTTTCCCTCCTTCGAGGTTGCCATCTGTACAGGGTAAAAGTCTGACTAGCCAGGGTTTAGCATGAGAGATAGATCAGACAAAATAGCAAGCCACTGTACCTTGGTGAAACCTTTACCCAAAGCGTAAATAGCTTTGACGGACTTCGGATTGGCAAAGGAGAGGCAGTTTGGCCCAAGGCGGACAATGTCCCCATATTTCTTATGGCAATCTATATGCCACTGTTCAGGTTTCCTCTGCCATGCTTTGAAAAACCTGTACCAGTCGGTGAAAGCGCACGCTAGTGGTCCCGGATACTTGTTTAAGTCTCGCTTATAGTAGTTGCGAGCTAGATAAATGAGCACAGAAAATACGAGAGCCAGAGGCAAGTATTGGCCCAGTGCTCGAGTAATGATGTCTGTGAGCATAGTGAAAGGTGCTTCTGCTTCTGCATTCGATGTGATGGAGCGATCTAGTCCGATTTATACATGAATTACACGCGCCTTACAGAGCGTCTCATGGATCCCCGAATACATCTGCCGAACGAGCCCTGTACAGACACGAAAGTATTTGATGTGGGGGCAGCAGCCAAGCAGCTGATCTGGTCCTGATTAGGCTACTCAGTCGATTCTAATATTAAGTGTGGCCACCTTCCACTGCTGTTATAGCTTCGTATCAATGTTTCATAGTCCTTATCAGTGATTGTATTGTTTCTGATGTAATAGCCTTCTAGGGCTCTATTACCAACCTTCAAAGTTGCCATATGTAAGGGCGAGGCGTTGTGGCTTCATTCATTCTTGCTGAATAAAAGAGGGTATCCTCAAAGCAAGAGTGAAATTTACCAGCTGACAATCTTGGCGAACTGTAAAATCCGATGTTTTTGGCTAGAATGCTAAGTTTTCAATATATTTGAATTCCTGCTAAACAAAAGCGGGATAGCTTTCGGGGATTAAGCACTTTCGTTACTGTATGTAGATGCGAAAGCGCATTGCTTTGCCAAGAAGGCTCTATCGTGAGAGCAGGACCGAAATGGCACCGGCCATACCAGGGGTTCTAATGGTAAAAACTAGCAATGTAAGACATTGCCTCGGCTAGGTCGATAGACTGATCAGTGTGTCTGTTATACGTTGTTGGGTATCCTGTACACTGAGGAAGTAGAGTTTCTTGGAAGCGGAGTGTTAGCCTCAGACCTATGTTCTAGGATTGTTTAGTAGATGTTACTCAGATAACGTCATATGGAGCAGTTCTTCGTTATCTTTTCTGATACTTTCATTTACTCTGCTTTCACGACCACAACAATAGCAGGAAATACCATACTCAACTACGCGAGTTATAAACTCGACTGTAACATGTGGCACTGCCTCGGTCATACTGCTTAGCGACCGTCAGGAAATGATGCGTTCTAGCCAGTCGGTAGAGAAGGCGGAGTACCAACTAGGCCTAGATATCTCCTCAAGAGGACTGAGGAGCCAATCGGACTATATCACATTATTGGTGTAGCTTACGTCGGATCTAGTAATGATCTAAGATTGCGAATGGGCGATGCCAAGAAGCGGTTGCATGTAATGACCCGCCTATCGTTCGAGCTTGGCGAATTTGCGCTTCACTCAGCTGTATGTGCAGGCAAAATGTCAAGGTATCCGTTCCAGAGCCCAGCGTACTAACTTTCCTCCCCCCGACCCCCGCCGCTGCTGCCTACCCGCATTGATGAGAGACTGGCCGCACCGATAAGAGGGGTTTACACACCCAGGCGGAAGCTGCACCTGGTAGCCCCGAGAAAATAGCGAGGAATAGGACCGATATACACCGATAATGGTACATGAAGTCTTGCCATACACTGGGGACACAACTCGGCAACCAGGGATCTGGCTCGAATCGCAATGTGACTATAATTCAAAGAATACCAACCCTTTGCTCAACTGCAAGCGTCCCTTGCGCGACAAACTCTTAACTTTACTATTTGCCTTGGCCCGCACCCAAAGCCAATTGCAAAAATCATGGATTCCGAAAAAACCCCCGGGGGCACACCTATAACCGAGCTAATACGCCCGGAGATGGTAACAACGACAAACCCTCTAGACTGGACCGGACCGGACGATCCAGATAACCCGGTCAATTGGCCAAAATGGAAGCGATATTTCCACATTGTTCCTCCAACGATTATTTCCTTCACAGCGTAAAAGAACTCTAGTCATCACTGTGCCAAGACTCACACACTAATTCATTGTTTAGGACCTTAGGTGCATCAATCTATTCACCTTCCTATCCCATCATCCAGAAAAAGTTCGACACAAGCTCTACAGTAGCACTCTTACCCCAGTCTTTGTATGTTCTAGCACTGGGCTTTGGGCCTCTGGTTGCTGCTCCGCTCTCCGAAACATATGGAAGGTACATTGTGTACGCAGTCACTACGCCCCTGGCAGCCGTTTTCACCGTGGGAGCTGGATTCTCGCAAAACGTACAAACGCTATGCGTCATGCGATTCCTCGCCGGAATGGCATTTAGCCCTTCGTTAGCTATCGGTACGGGAAGTGTTGGCGACCTGACTATCCCCGAAAGAAGAGCGGCTCCGTCGGCGCTCTACATCATGACACCGTTTCTGGGCCCGGCGTTCGGGTAAGTACTAGGTCGCATTCTTTTAGGCGTAAACACTCGTTTCTTATAATCCGTAATAGTCCCGTGTTAGGCTCCCTCGTAACCGTCAAGATGTCTTGGCGCTGGACGCAATGGACGTTAATCTTCTTTGCGATTCTATCGATGATCGTGCTCGCGTTCTCCCAGGAAACATACAAAGCAAGCATTCTCGCTAAGAGGGCGCGACGGCAGAACATTCCACTTCCACCTGGACCACCGACATCAGTGAAAATAAGACGGTTCTTCACCATTACACTCATTCGTCCATTACACATGCTATTCTCCGAGCCAATCGTCGGCTTCTTCAGCCTTTATACTGGCTTCAACTTCTCGATCGTCTTCGCGTTTATGGCGGCCTATCCTTATATTTTCCGATCTGTTTATAACTTCACCACGATTCCCTCCGGGTTGGTCTTCCTCGCCGTCGGTCTTGGTGGATCTTTGGCCGTACCCACCGTCTTACTTTGCGATTATTGTTTTTATCAACCCCGTGTCCGTGAGTCCAAACTCTCCGGCAATGGCGGAATAGTAGCCCCAGAACATCGTCTTTATCCTGCAATGGCGGCTTGCTTCGGCATACCAGTCGCATTGTTCTGGTTTGGTTGGACTGCTCAACCAGCAGTGTCTTGGTGGAGTCCGGTGATCGCTTCCATTCCTTTTGCATGGGGAAACTCGACGATCTTTATATCTGCAACTGCATACCTGCTGGATACTTATCAAGCTCTCTACGGAGCCAGTGTGATGGCGGCCAACTCTCTCGTTCGGTACCTCCTTGGCGCCGCTCTGCCATTATTCACCTTGCAAATGTACAAAGGTCTAGGGATAGAATGGGCTACAAGTCTATTGGGTTTCGTTTCTATCGCATGTATTCCGATTCCGTGGGTTCTTTTCTTCTACGGCCCATCCATTCGATCGAGAAGTGGTTATGAGACGATTAAAGTGCCGGAATAAAAGTCTGAATGGCGTGGCATGTTATCCAGGTTGAGATGAATACTGCGCAGAGGGCAGGCATGCTTAGGATCTGGAAAATTATTATCGTCTCTATTAATACCTCCCTAGCTATAAGATTAATATCTTATTTTATAGCTCTTATTTAGCTCGATCTCTTACTAAGAGAAAGGAAAAATAGGGTTATTGCCGGTTATTGGGAGCAAAGGACGTGCAGAAAAGAAAAGGGGAAGCGCGGTGGTAATGCCGCACGGATGCATCGTGCCTGTGATCCTGGAAAGAGCCGATGCGAAAGAGGACGAGGACGGGCAAGGCGAATAGAAGGGGATTGGAGACTGCTACTTCCCAGGCATCATGTTTGAAGAAAGCGTTACCTGGGAAATCAGTGACACAAAATCGTTTCTTCTTATTCGAGGCGTGGTAATGAAAGAGCATGAATATAAGATGTTTCCCATACGTCAAGTAGTATTATCACCCCATGGCTCCCTCCCTAAAAACAAAAGAAAGCCAAAACTACTAAGTTTACACATTAATACAAAAGAGAGAAAAGAAAAAAAAAGAACGAGCGCCTTTTTTAAAAAAAAGGACGCAATCAATATGGCCTTTGCCACCCTCCAGTTCATTATCGTTATTCCGCTCCGCACACCCCAAGACAAAAGAAATAAACAGAAAAGAATGAAGCAACTCCCTTCCCATGCTGAACCCTTTTACAGAAAAAAAACGATAAAAATATATAAATACACGAAAAACAACATCCTCAAAGCTCACGGCGCCGCGATCCCCGTAAAAGCAAAAACATCCTCTCCCGCCATGCCCTCCCCACACTCGGGACACGTGCATCCATCAACCCCCCTTGCGCCTCTCGCACACTCCATGACCCAGCCTTGTAAGCACTCAACACAAGTCGCGGGCTCGTGCCAGCAATTCTTTGTAATACGGCGCGTTACGAATTCTGCATTCGACTTCACGTTCTTGCAGAGGATGCAGGTGCGCTCGATAGCGGGTGTATTGCGGCGCGAAGCAGGGGTGCCGATACGGGGTACGTCTGCGGTAGCGGTGGTAGGCGGACGCGAAGTGTAGGAGTGCATGGAGGAGGGGCGGGTTTGGTGAGGGATGTCGACCGCGAGGCCGAGTGGTCTTTGCTTGGGGGAGAGCGAAGCGGCGCTGCTGCGGCGGCGGTCGGCGGTTGTCATTGCGGGACTGGGCGGTGCGTTTGTGGTCCATGGGGCGAAGGGGGCGGGGAGAGGTACGAGGTGGGGGGAGGTTGGGGTGGTAGAAGGGTTCAAGGGAGAGTATGCGGGTGTGGGCGCGAGATCGAAGGCGGATTGGCGTTTGGAGAGGACGGAGGCGCGTGTGGATTCGTTCTCATAGGTGTGTAGGTTTTCCTCTGTGAGTTTCATTCTGCGGATGTCGTCGACGACGGCGGCGAACTTGGGCTGCTCTTGTTGGGCGGCGGCAGAGTCACGGCGTCGAGCGCCGAAGTTCTTGAGGGCTTGCGGGATGGTGGACCAGCGGTTTTTGTTCTTTTTCTCTGGTTTGGCCTTTTCTTCCTTGGGCTTCTGTTCGAGGTTGTCGAAGGAATCAAAGGGGCTGCGAACTGGGGTTGCGGGAGTTGCTGAGAATGCTAGTGGCGATGGGAGTGTTGATGTCGTTGACTTCATGGGCGTAGGAGGGCCGACTTCATCATCTCCGAAGCGTTGATAGCTATCGTCATTCTCAATGTCCTCTCCGGCAACTGTTTTGGGGATGATGCCAGATACCGGCCTCGAAGAATTTGTGGGATAGCTGTTGTTTCGTAGGCCTCGTGAGGATGCAATCTTACTTCCGGAACGAACGCGCTGGTGATAGGTCGCAAATGAGGTCGGACGTGGGCGTTGCTTCAGTGGTGGACTGTCGAGCGAAGTAAAACTCTGGGGATGGTATGAGATGGGACGTCCCGTCTGTGTGTCCTTTGTTTCTTGCATAGGCTGACGGTTTCGCAGCGCAGGGTGTACTTGCTCACACTCGTAACTGCCCCGGGAAGAAATGCTACTCCTTGGTTTTTCCAGACTGTCGAGACTTGATGATATATGGCGTGAGCCTGGTGTTTCGGGGCTGAAGGTAGTCGGTGAAGCGGTCCATTCTGGTGTGAGTAGATGTTGCGAGTTGTAAGACACTGGCCGTGTGAGTGGTTGTGGTCGTTGTTTGACAAAACACGTATTAAGCTTCGACATAGGCTCCAAGTCTGGTAGCGCTCTCAGACTTGTGTCAGCCTTGAGAGTCGACGTCGGTCTGTCCGGGTTGGTCCATTTGTCGAGGAGATCAGAGTCGCTGTCGTCGTTCGGGGTCTCTTGGGGAACTTCCACAACCTTTAGAGCCAGCTCTGGTTTGGATGGTTCCTGGACTTGTACCGCCTCTGGCACTGGTTCTTCGGTTGGCTGATTTGATTGCTCTACCACCTGGGAAGTCTGTTGTTGCTCGTACATTGGCCGTTCGAGCCATCGTGTTGTTACGGACTTTTCGCGTTGTAGGCTGTTCAATGCTTCCTCTGAACCTGCGATGAAGTCGAGCATGCGATGTGCTTTGGCAGGATCCCTCTTGATTGGCCGGGGGTGCCTAAGCAGTGGATGAACATCATCCTGGGGTAAGTTGCGCGCCACAGCCGCCATTTTTTTTGAGGCTGTTCTAGCCGAAGGGCGGGATGCCTGGAAGAAATATTAAGAATAATGAGAGAGGTCGGGCGGGCACGCGGGCACGAGCAGCTCAATAAAGCGAGAGGCAGGAACCACCCCTCAAACCATGTGGGACGGCGACGGTCGTTATCAGTAGCATGCGGCGACTCAACCAATATCCCCGGGCTCGGCCTGCCAGAAGTTACTGCGTGGCTGGCAGGGTAGCACACAACCGACGTATCCGTTTCAAGCCCTTGAGAAAGCCGGCAGCTTCGTAACACACCGTTAGCTTGGGGTCGCACGACACTGCGCCTCCCCGTCATTCGTTGCTAGGGCCCGTATTGCTAGGCCCACACGCAATGTAGTTCGGCGGATCATGGTTAGCGTGGCAACGTGAGACGTATTTTTAGCACCCGTCCTCTGCTTCTGTACGCTTCGCTGCTGAACGCCTCTTGTGCAAATCAGAGTCGGACGCTTGTGCCAATCTCAGATGTTGATTGTGGTAGCGGCATGCACCTGGAGTTCATTTACGAGCTGTCCTGATGATGACGAAGCAGCCGCGGCTGTGTGTTGGCGGTGTGCACATGCTGGGTGTCCTTCGCGAGGCTGGGGCAATGTCGAGTCCAAGGGCGATCAACAAGCCACCTAATCGCATGACGACCATTGCCCACAGCCCTGTGCCAATGCTCGGCTTTGGCCCTACAAAGCGGGCCACGATGCTGGGGAGCGCCAAAACAACAAACACGCAAAAAAGCACACCGGCTTCTCGAAAAGCGTTCCGGAATTGCTGAGAAGACGACAAGATCATCGGCGGCTCCCAACAAATGAAAAGCGAGAATAAGCCCGGGCGCCGCTAAGGTGCTCGGAATCTCCCAGGCATATCCAGAAGAGACTCTCGTCTTACGCTTCAGACGCTCGTCTAAGACGTCAATGATTGTCATGACATTGGGGCAAGCAACGCGTCGGCTCCGCACGCTCACAAATTCTTCCGTCTGTAGTGCAACCTATGGTAGGCCAGTGTTCCCACCCACGCTTTTCACACCAACACGTCACGGAAACCGATGGCATTCCACTGGCTGGTGGTGTAAAAAAGACGCATTCTCTGGTAGGTGGCTATGCTGTGCCAATATACTACGACTATTGATTGTAAGAGGTTGGCTAGGGTGCCATGCAATTGGCATACTTAGTACAAAGAGGCGGGTCTACCTTGCTGTGCCGCAAAGCCTGGGCGAACCGCCTGCTCCCGCTCATTGCATGCATGTATGTGGGTGTAGTGTAGTGTACTAGCATGTCCTTACGTACAGAGGTGAGCGGTGGAAAGAGGTAATGCAGTTGTCATGTTTTAGCACCTTTTTGTCAAAAGCGCTAATGTTCTGGCCAAAGTCCAGCCGGCAACAAACACGTGATGTCGCATGCTTTCACACCACCGAGTCCACGGGTGCGATGACTAAGCTACCGCACTAATCCAAAACAGGCCGCCGAAACTTGAGAGAAGCTCGCGGCCTGCTGTTGCCATCCCCTCAATCAACCCCAATCACCCCAAGCCGTCACGCAACCTGCAGCAAAAATGGCCGGCCCGCGCGCAGGAAAATCAAGGGCCAATGGCGCCACTAATGGGGATTCGTCAAACAACAAGCAGTCCCTGATGGAGCCCTCTGACAAGGAGCTCTATGGCGGAAACACGGGCGACTATGTCAATTCCATCGCCGTCACTGATCAGGACGATGACATGGACGACGTCCAACTCAATGGTCGGAGTCTTGTTGGACAATACACGGCATCCAAGGAGATGATGAACGAGTTTGCGCACGGCGACGCGGGTGAGGCCGACATCCTCGACAGCCGCGAGAAGCAGGCCCAGATTGCATCACGCGAAACCGACTATCAACGGAGACGATTCGACCGCGCACTCTCCCCGACACGTGCTGACCCCTTTGCAAAGGACGGAGAGGATGGCGGCCAGTCATACAAGGACGTCATGAAGCAGCGCGAGTTGGAGCGTGAGGAGGCGCGTGTCAAGCAACTGATTGAAGACAAGGAAAAGTCTGGAGGCAACGAGGTTCTTGATCACAAACCTACACTCAAGGACGACGGATCCGCCACAGTCGACGGTGACAAAACCCCACCGATGAAGAAGGCTCGCAAACGGAGACGATGGGACGAAGTTGCAGACGACGAAACTCCCGCCACCAAGGAAGAAGCCAAGGAAGAGCCCAAGAAACGCTCGCGATGGTCGCCGGCACCAGAAGACACAAAGAAAGCTACTGCACCAGTCCGGTCACGTTGGGATACCACCGCTGTAGCCCCTGCGGCTGCTGCAACGCCTGCTCCCGCTGCGAATGGTGCACACCCAATCGCTCCAACCTTTGCCTTTGGTACCGATATCTCGAGTCGCAACGCCCCGCTGTCTGATGAGCAGCTTGACATGATGCTCCCAGGCGAAGCCGAAGGCTACAAGGTCCTCGAGCCACCACCAGGTTACGAGCCAGTACGACGACCAGTAGGCATGCCAGCTCTCCCCACCGGATACCAGGGTTTCTTGATTCCTGAGGTAGACAACAGCTTGGCTGCCATGGGCAAACAACTGCCGACAGAAATTCCGGGTGTTGGCGATTTGCAGTTTTTCAAGAACGAGGATATGAAGTACTTTGGAAAACTTACAGACGGTGCCGACGAGAACGAGATGACGGTGGAGGAGCTGAAGGAGCGCAAGATCATGCGACTGCTTCTGAAAGTCAAGAACGGAACACCACCCATGCGAAAGACCGCGCTTCGACAACTTACAGACAATGCTAGGCAGTTTGGTGCCGGAGCCCTGTTCAATCAGATTCTGCCACTCCTGATGGAACGGACACTGGAAGATCAAGAACGACATTTGCTTGTCAAGGTTATTGACCGTGTCCTGTACAAGCTCGACGATCTCGTTCGTCCCTACGTCCACAAGATTCTTGTCGTCATTGAACCCCTCCTTATCGACCAAGACTACTATGCACGTGTCGAAGGTCGTGAGATTATTTCTAACCTGGCAAAGGCTGCTGGTCTTGCACACATGATCAGTACGATGCGCCCTGACCTGGACCACCAAGATGAATACGTCCGAAACACCACCGCTCGAGCCTTTGCCGTTGTCGCGTCTGCTCTTGGTATACCAGCCCTGCTCCCCTTCCTTCGAGCCGTTTGCCGATCCAAGAAGTCATGGCACGCGCGCCATACTGGTGTGAAGATCATCCAACAGATTCCTATCTTGATGGGTTGCGCTATTCTGCCTCATTTGAAGGGACTTGTCGACTGCATTGGCGAGAACCTGAACGACGAGCAGCCCAAGGTCCGTATGGTTACAGCTCTAGCCCTTGCCGCGCTTGCCGAAGCGGCCAGCCCGTATGGTATCGAATCTTTCGACGAGATTCTCAACCCTCTCTGGACTGGTGCCCGCCGTCAGCGTGGTAAGGCCCTCGCGTCTTTCTTGAAGGCTGTGGGTTACGTTATCCCGCTTATGGACGAGGAATACTCCAACTACTACACCAGTCAGATCATGGAGATTGTCATCCGCGAGTTCCAGTCGCCTGATGAGGAAATGAAGAAGGTTGTGTTGAAGGTCGTTTCTCAGTGCTCAAATACAGCCGGTGTCACACCAGTATACCTTAAGGATAATGTCTTGCCAGAGTTCTTCAAGCATTTCTGGGTACGGCGTATGGCTCTTGACAAGCGTAACTACCGCCAAGTAGTGGACACGACGGTGGACCTGGCACAAAAGGCTGGTGTTTCTGAGATTGTAGGCCGCATTGTCAACAACATGAAGGATGAAAACGAAGCATACCGCAAGATGACTGTTGAAACTGTCGATAAAGTCATTAGCACTTTGGGTGCTCATGACGTCGACCAGCGTCTCGAAGAGCAGCTCATCGACGGTGTGCTTGTCGCTTTCCAGGATCAGACCATCGAGGATCCCATTGTCATCGACGGTTTCGCTACTGTTGTCAATGCCCTAGGTGAGCGGACGAAGACCTATCTTCCACAGATTGTTGCAACGGTCCTTGCTAGGCTCAACAACAAGTCTGCCACTGTTCGTCAGCAAGCTGCAGACCTTATCTCCCGTATTACCTTCGTCATGCAAAAGTGTGACGAGGATCCGCAGCTCATCAAGCTTGCACAGGCGCTTTACGAATATCTTGGTGAAGAATACCCAGAGGTTCTTGGTTCGATCCTCGGCGCTCTTCGCGCTATTGTCACAGTCGTTGGCCTTCACGCTATGCAGCCTCCCATCAAAGATCTCCTGCCCCGGCTTACACCCATTCTCCGTAATCGACACGAAAAGGTGCAAGAAAACACCATCGATCTTGTAGGACGTATTGCCGACCGAGGTGCAAACTATGTCAACCCCCGTGAATGGATGCGAATCTGCTTCGAACTCCTGGACATGCTCAAGGCGCACAAGAAGGGTATCCGTCGTGCTGCCAACAACACATTTGGTTACATTGCCAAGGCTATCGGTCCCCAGGATGTGTTGGCCACCCTTCTTGGTAACCTTCGAGTCCAGGAGCGTCAGTCTCGTGTCTGCACAGCTGTCGCTATTGGTATTGTTGCTGAGACTTGCGCGCCGTTCACTGTCCTTCCCGCACTGATGAACGAATATCGTGTACCAGAGCTCAACGTACAGAATGGTGTACTCAAGTCATTGTCTTTCATGTTTGAGTATATTGGCGAGATGGCCAAGGATTATGTCTACGCCATCACACCACTCTTGGAAGACGCTCTGATCGACCGAGACCAAGTGCATCGTCAGACTGCCGCTTCCGTGGTCAAGCACGTCGCTCTGGGTTGTGTTGGCCTTGATTGCGAAGACGCCATGATCCATTTGCTTAACCTTCTATGGCCCAACCTCTTCGAGACCAGTCCTCACGTCATCGATAGGATCATCGAAGCCATTGAGGGTGTTCGCAACGCAATCGGTACTCCGCTTGTCATGAATTACGTATGGGCTGGTTTGTTTCATCCGGCTCGCAAAGTTCGACAGCCTTATTGGCGCATCTACAACGACGCATACGTTCAGAATGCTGATGCCATGGTCCCAGCATACCCCGCTTTTGAGGAAGATCATGTCAAGAGACATGAACTGGACATCTTCATCTAAACGTAAGACTCCCAGTGCCTCCTTTTTTGATTGTTTTCCCCCAGTGCCACCATTCTGGGGTAGCGTTGCTTTTCCATCCAGCGATCCGGCATAAGTTTATGGGTTTAAGCAATCGTGGGTCAGTGTCCTTGTGGTTCGGGCTTACGTTGCTTATCATGTATATCACAGTAGGGTTAGATCGGAGTATTGCGGCGTTGAAGTACGCTAGGGATAAGGACTTCTGAGCTGCCACCGGGCCATTTTCATAGGACCACTTATGGTAACAAAAATAATCTGCACCCACTTTCCAAGCTGATCACCTTTAGGTTTCGTGAAGTCGCCCTGTCTTATTCTATTCCTGTATAAAGGTATGTCATTGCTTGTCGTTGCACCGTGGGCTGAACTATCTAAAGGCGATTGAATGCGCCGTTCAGTTTTACGAAAGGCCCATATTCACTTGTCCCATTTGCACGGAGCAGACCAGGATAAGTATGCAGGCTTCTGCCTTGCCTTGCCTTGCCAATCTTCTTATTGAACCTAGTGTCATGACTGAGTGCCCTCTACTACATAATCGGTAAGATTCGCGTGACATCACTCCTTCTTGCCTGTCACATGATGGTACCGCAACTATGGGCTTAATGTTCACGACCTTTAATTAGCCAAGCCAATGTTCGGACCCTGTAAATTGTAGTCTATAAACCAATCACCAAGATGCTATATGCTTGAAGCCAAAATATCTTACAACACCAAATTAAATATACTTGCGGCTGATATTTGAAACAAAAATTGTGTCATATAAGAGTTGGTGCTGCAGTTAAAGAATGACTTCAGCTGACCGTATGGCCAATCCAATATGCTTTTCCCATAGTTCAATGCAGCCAGCTAGTAAGTGGACGAAACGAACGGTGCGAAAAAGCACAGAAGCCTAGCCAAACCTTGATTCAACACCGTACTATCCCAAAGGTGTGCGCCCCATTTCGAACACCAAGGCCGAGCAGACGCGTAACCGAGTGACTCCTTCACGCATTGTTACCATAGCGACGCGACATGCACGCGAAGTCAGCTGAGGAGCCACCATGCCCGTGGCGCTATTCCACGCCGTGGATTCGCGAGCAGCAACGCCACAAGGAACGAATAGATACCTCCCACCATTCCCAGACTGGGGGAATCTGCACAATGCACAGGTTGCAGATGTGTGTGACTCACCGAATCTAGTTGTTGGAGAGACCGCTTTCTGTGGATTCAGGCGGCCTGAAAAGCCAAGTAAACGCTGCTCGTAGACGAATATATATATATATATCTGTACAAGACGACCAAGATACATATTAATAAACACACGGTGTAAATCCCATCACTACTAGCATTCAACCCCTCTTCCACACGCCGAACCCTCATCAAACCCCCATCAAATTAGCAAAGAAAAAATATGTCCCTCCCCACCCTCCCCTCCCCCTCCGCCCCAACAGCATCCTACAACGCATCCTGCCACTGCGGCGCCTTCACCTACACCGTCACCGCATCCCCACCGCTCTCCGCCACAGACGCAGTGATAAAACAGTGCAATTGCAGTATCTGCGAGCGAAACGGGTACATGTTCATCTATGTGGCGAATGAGCAGGTAGTATTTGAAAAGGGGGCGTTGGAGGAATTTAAGGTATGATATCTCCCTCCCTCCCTCCCCCAAACTCTGTTCTTTTCTAGGTCCCCCCCTGCCCCCCCTCTTTTGAAAGAGGAAGAAGAAGAGGAAGAACGGACTAATATGGATAACAGTGTTACTCGTTTGCTTCGAATAAAGTAGGACATTACTTCTGTGGCACGTGCGGGTCCTCTTGTATGTTGAGGTCAAAGGACGAGAATTTTATGCCGGGCATTACGGGCATCAATGTGCGGATGTTGCAGGATGTGGATTTGGAGAAGGTGAAAGTGGAGCATATGGATGGGAAGAGTTTCCAAGCGGGGGTTTAAGGGAAGGGCATGGGTGTTATGTTGCTTGGTGACAAGAGCTGGGCATTAGGGGAATAGGACTGTGTAGGTTGTGGAGGAGAAATGTGTGTCAAGTTTCAAAGTTCAGGATAGGATTAATGACTTGATCTATTGGTAAAGGAAAGGGTATCTTTGGAATCTAAAAGTATAGGAAATATTATAGCTCGTCGAATGCACGGAGGGGCTCGTTATCCTTGAGAGTGCGTTTGGAATTATCCACTTTGACGGCGGGTTTATGTTTGGGTGTTGGTGACCCTATAATTGCTTCCTTTGCAATGTCCGGTATGTCTGCATTTAAGATGGCATCTCGAGATGCGGGGTCCAACCCAGTGTGATTTTGTTCGACAATATCAGAGACCGGTCGAGAGGCATGGAAGAGGACAAGGGCAAAGAAGATGGCGGCTATAATACCAGCGATACCCCAGAAAATACGTATACAATCTGAAACCACTTGTTAGCTTGACTGAATATAGAAGCAGTGCCATGGTATCCATACTAGTGTTCTTTGCCTGCAACTCTGCTTCTAACTTGGCTTTGGCGTCAACATGCTCTTTGGCCTGCTCGAGTCGTGCAGTTAGAGCATCCGCCTTTTCTTTTCCTGCTTTGATCCGCTCCTCGAGGCCGATGACTTGCTCTTGCTGTGTCTCGAAATTGTCAAATGCTTCGACTTGGCCAGACACATCCTCTACGAGTTCTGTAGTGTCTGCTTCGAAGTTTTTGTGTAGTTCCCTGGTGAGGCCCGACAGCTCGTGCAGTGTGCCAATTGTCTGTTGCAGCACGGATATCTTCTCGAGGACCGAGTAGTGTGTATCGTCTAGGCGGCGCGAGATCTTGAGAGACTGGTCCGAGAGGGATTGAAGGGCGGCACGGAGCTCACTATGAGACATGTTAGAAGAGGCTTTCTTTCTGACATGCCATGAGAATGCGGAGTATTTCCAATGACGCAAACATACTGTTCTCTAGCCTCAACCCTTTTTGCCTCTAGCTCTATATCTGCGGGCCGGAGCGGTCTCCGCGGGGGGATGGTGATGCCCGGTGTGGTTTCCTCCTTTCCACTTGCACTCCCTTCGGCTTGCTTTGGGGCAACGCTCTGCCTGCGACTATGGCTGGGGCTGGTGTCCCTGCTCCCGCGCGCCTGCCTTAGCAGGTCTCCAAAGCTAGCAGGCGGTTGTATCTGGATAGCCGACTGCATGGCTTCCTTGGCCGCATGACGCCGACTCGAGCCATGACGATGATGGCTATCGTGGCTGTCGTCGTGGTGACGCGACGACTTGTGCTTGTGCTTGTGCTTGTGTGAATGAGATTGAGATTGCGATTGTGACTTCTTGATGGGATCCGACGTCACTCGGGTTTCTGCGCTGGAGCTCCGGAGAGTGGGACGGAATGCCGTGGGGTCGGCCAGGCCTGCATGTAAGTGTAGCGATCCCTCCATGTCATGGTGGAGGTTGTGAGGGCTGGGAAGCCAGTTGACGTTGTGGTTCGCGGTTGCGCAGTTGCAAGCCTGCCATCCGAGCGTCGCGTATCATTGCAGGGGTTCGTTACACTAAACCCCTAACGGACAAACATGTGAATAGAGATGGAGCAGACAGGCGTCTGACTGTACTGCCAAGCTTGCAGTTATGGTTCCTTTTTTGTCTCTCTTTAACATGGAGGAAATTGGTGCACTGCACGGCCAGATTTACACGGGTAATGGTGGTAATTGATTGGTAGTTGCTATCCACTTTATGAAACCCAGGGTATCCTTTTTTGCGCCAACACTCTGCAAATCCGAGGCTCGTATTATACTGCCTTTCAGCTTCGATCGAAAATAGCCTATCCATCGTGTATATCGAAACGACGGAGCGGTTGCTCTTGCCAGCTTGTGTTTCTCTGGCCTCCTTTGAAGCGGCATTTTTTTGGTTGGTTTGTGCTGTGACCACACATTTTTCACTACCCACGCTCATGACTTGAGCATCTTGTTGCGCTTCTCCTTCCTCTTCAGACGCTCGACGCGCCTCTTGTGCATCTTCTCCTCCATCTTGGCAAAGCGTTCGCGTTCCTCCTTGGCCGCCCGTTTCGTCTTGATTGCCTCGACTCGTCGCTATCCCGTTGTCAGCCACAAATGGCGCGTAGTTGAGTAATCGCACTGCGTACCTGTCTCTCTGCCTCCTTTTCCTCCTTGAGCTCCTTCTCCTTTGCCTTGACTGCAGCAAGGACCTTCCTCTCCGCCTGGCGCTTCTCCCACGAAGATTGATTTGCCCGTGGGCGGAATGGAGCCTTGTTGTCGTGCCATTGCTTGCCTGCGCAGGTGGTTAGATGGTGGTGTGGCGCAAGTACTCCCAATGTTGCGCATACCGTTCTTCTTCATGCCCTTGACAGGCACCGTCTCGGTGGTGGGAGGCGCCTCTACTGTGACGGATGCAGACATGTTGATGGTGGTGGGCAATGCTGAGCCTCAACGGCGTCTTTCCGTCTGGGCCAAAGATGTCGACAGTCGCGGCGCAAGAAAAGTTTAGCCGATATCGATAGCGCGGAGGGCGTCCAGGGTCAGAGTGGTACGGCTGGCACGACTGGCACGGCTGGCTGAAAGCGGGGTGGCTTGTGCAACGACAGGCCGTGATGATTCCATCAGATCTGATAAGATTAGAAAAAGAAACCGCGCATGCCACATCGACTAGTAATGTGCAATGGTCATTTTTTTGTTTGTTGCACCTGCAGCCGCGTCAGCGGCATGTCCGGGTCAAAGGGGCGCTTTGCCCTTGATACTTTCTATATATTCCCTCTCCCGACGCCCTGAAGATTTTTTGGAGCTAGGGAAAAGTCTTTCCTGATTGCATCACGTTGGGCGCCAGACTCGTGTAATTGCATTCATCCATAGTCGCACACCACCCACGGCCCGCTGCCTCTTCCCGTCCAACCCTCCTTGTGTCACTTCACTCCTGGCTTTGCGCTACTTGCAATTTCAGTACGCTGCTGTCCCACGTCAGCCTTGACATGAGCGCGACTTCGTAATACTCATCTCCGCGCCTCTCACCGCCCACGACTCTTGGTACCCAACATGCCCCTGTTTCCCACCGCCATACTTTGACCGTCCTATACAACTCAAATACACCTACATATTCAAGATTGATGGAGGCACACAAGAGCTCGGTGGGGGTGTTGGTCGGAAGAGGCGGGCTGCCCAATACAATTATCATGGAAGAGGCACAGCGTCCTTCTGCAGCACATGTAACCAGCAGCGGAGAAGAGGCCCTAAAGGACATTCTGTGCGGATCAACGGCTGGAATCGTTGGCAAGTACATCGAGTACCCCTTCGACACGGTCAAGGTTCGTCTGCAGTCACAGCCAGACACGATACCGCTCCGGTACACTGGGCCGCTGGACTGCTTCAAGAAGTCATTGCAGCACGATGGGTTTCTGGGAATATATAGAGGTATTAGTGCGCCTCTGGTTGGGGCTGCGGTGGAAAGCAGCACCCTATTCTTCAGCGTAAGTTGCACCTCTTCGAGGCCCCATGTTCCACGCTGACGTCGCGAACAGTATCGTATAGCGGGAGATGCTCTGAAAGCCTCAGGTGTATATCCAGAGCTGAAGAGGCACCCTGAACGAGACCTGCCCTACTCAGGTATGCTCTGGTGTGGCATGGTCGCTGGAGCAATCACGTCGTTGTTTCTTACTCCCATTGAACTTGTCAAGTGCAAGATGCAAGTTCCTGTAGAAAGCCCTGGCACTGTGGTTGCTACTCCAACAATTCGAGGAGTCATTGCCTCGATCTATCGCCACCAAGGCTTTTCCGGCTACTGGCACGGTCAGCTGGGAACCTTGATCCGGGAAACAGGAGGCGGCGCGGCATGGTTTGGTGGCTACGAGGGCATGAAGATTATCTTCAAGGGGATCAACGGATCGACCAAAGACGAGGATCTTCGTGTGTGGCAGCGCATGGCTTCTGGCTCTGTTGCTGGTGGCGCATACAACTTTATGTTCTATCCCGCCGACACGATCAAGTCGCGAATGCAGACAGAAGACGTCAAGCATCTGACGGGCGGAAAGTCGAGTTTCACCGCAGTAGGTAAGGCGCTGTGGAAACAGCACGGCATCAAGGGTATGTATCGTGGATGCGGTATCACAGTCGCAAGATCGATCCCCAGTTCTGCGTTCATCTTCACTGTGTACGAGGAATTGAAAAAGCGATGGCCCAGCCGCGGGTCAGAGTAGCGCGATAGAAACATTTCTAAGCGTCCAAGGGAGCTGGACGGTACATATGCGAGCACGAGAACGAGGCTGGAAGGGCGTTTGTGAGAAAAAAAAAGCATAGATTTGAGGCGTCGTCCTAGAGATACCAATCATGATCTTACAGATAGCTTATAACTAGAGTTATTGTTATTTTTTTTGTATTTAGAATATCACTGGCCATTAAACACCATTTCAGTATGCTCTACTACGTAACGACAGCCCGCAAAAGCACATGTCAACTGCACCCTGCACAAGCCTTCACATGCCAAAGCAGCAGAATCCTGTGATCTCTAGACTATTCCGATTGCGGTCTAGTGCGAAACAATGCTCCAACGTGGGGAAACCAGACCGACCGGCAGCGGCAATGTGAGATTGGAGCCGAGGATGCAGATGGCAACGCGATTGTGACCCTTCACCTTCAGGGTACACCCGTGCAAGCATAGTCTCCAATCCACTTCCCGCCCCAGCCCTACAATGCACGTCTTTCCTCTTCAATAATCACTGTCTGGTTTTCTATCCCTCCTTTCAACGTCTCGCTGCAGCATTGTAAATTGCGAAATAGCACGGCGCAACTCGACGTCATTGCGACTGGCGCGCGCCCTGAACCGAGGCTCGCTCGCATCGTCAGCTGGCGATCTCTCGCTGGCGTTTTGTCGCAATCGCAGACGAACGTACAACGCTCTTTGATACCCCTACTGTCTACACGTGCAGTCCAAGACAGCATATACTCACATTACCGCCGACATGGACCAACTACACGCTCTCCACGTATGTCGCCCATTCGCTGCGAAACCTTGTGCATACGCTCCGCTCCGAGCTCCCCGTCGTCGTGTTTGATAACTGACAAGAATGGCGAACCATATAGGCTGTGCTCGAGAAGATTGCTCTAGACCCAAAATACCACGATGTTCTTACACTGGTGAAGGGTGTGAGGAACGGTATCGTGTACGGGAGTAAAGTGCGGTTTCCACACGCACTCGTGTATGTATCCTCCTCAGTAGAAAGAAAACAAGCCCCAGAGCTAACACACCACAGAATGATCTTCCTCTTCCGATCAGGAAGGTAAAAATCTGCCACCTCCCTCGTCCTACCCAATCCACGCCGGAAACTAACCTCCAGACAGCTTCCGCTCAAAATGCCTCCTCGTCTACAAAGCAACCCGCCAACACGCCCGCAACCTCGGCCTCTTCGCCCTCGTCTACAAAGCCACCATGCTCCTCCTCCGGCACACGTCGCCCAACGGCAAAGAGCGCCAATACGACTCGTTCCTCGCGGGCCTCCTCGGCGGCTACACCGTCTTCGGCCGCACAATCCACAATTCCGTCTCGCAGCAAATCGTCATCTACGTCGCTGCACGTGTGTGTCTTGCTTTGGCGAAGCTGGCCGTGCAGCCGCGAGAGCTTGGTACCGGTGCTGGGGGCAAACATGGCGGGGTCAAAGGGTGGGAGTTGTTTGGGAATGGAGAGATGAGGCGCGCGCTGGTGAGGAATGGGTGGCCGGCTTTTGCGAGTTTGAGTTGGGCCATGGTTATGTATATTTTCAGGTGGCATCCGGAGAGTGTGCAGAGTAGTCTGCGGAGTAGTATGAGTTATATGTGGGTGTTACTTTCCATCATTTTCTATTTTTTTACTCGGGAGGATTGGGTTTGCTAACGGAGAGAATAGTTATGTGCAGTCGGATGAGTGGGATTCGCTACGGACGTTATTGTGGCATAATAAATAGAACAGGAAACAGGATGGATGGAGTGGGATTTCAAACTCTTGGGGGGCGGGGGGGGGGAGGTGTTTTTTTTCCTTCCTCAGGAAGACATATTGGGGGGATGTTTGGCATTCCATGCATTGCACAGAGAACAAGAGGAATAGAAAGAGTGGATCAAGACGCAAAGTTCAAACAAAGATAAGCAATTCAGTAGCCAATGAGAAGAACAGAAGAAAGAGAAAAAAAGTTCAAAATCTACACATCGGACTAGGATTCCCACAGTCGTACGATCAGGAGTTTACTTTGTGACGACAAATCACATGACACACCATCTCATCCATCCCAACCCTCAACATCATCTCATCTCTCGATTTCTACATTCAGCTCATTCCCTATTCCGACTCACCTTAAACTTACACGTAGTCATAAACGCCATAAGTCCCTTTGCGATTTCCAAACAAAAAACGAGGCAGCCAATCCCAACCCCCGTCCCCCCTTCCACGTCATTGGCTCACACAAGTTCCTCTAAACCCATCCCTTCTGACCGGCGGAGACTTTCTTTGATTTACCCCGCTTCGCCTGAAAAACGGCGTGCAAGCGAAATGGGGCCCCGGTGAGACGGAAAGTGCAATGGGACTTTGATAAAACAGCCATGACTTTGACTTACAAGGGGGGGGGGATGGGCGCGGGACGATTTGGGGGCTGGAAATGCGACAGGGTCTTATGTCGGTTATCTGCGGGTACTGCTGCCTACATGTGATGATGTAGCCCTCTTCTCCCCCTTGTCCAAGAGGGATAACTCAGGGTAATCACGATTGCGGCAGGTCCGGCCCCCGGTTTCGGAGCTGAAGAGAGGTGATGAGGTGTATGAAAGAGGCGACGAGAGAGACAGCGTGACGGGTGTTTTTTTGGCCCTGGAGTGACGTCTGTTTGCTGATTCATGCGGCGTAGAGGCGTGGAGATTGGCCAGTGATGAGGTGCCAGAGGATGGTTCCCTTGTGTCGGCGCGTGGCTTTGGGCTGGGTGAGGGGAAATGGTCGACGTGTCACTTTATGTGGTGGCGAGTATGATGGGTGTGAGTCGATGGCGGGCGGCTAGCTGAGGTTAATGGGGTTGTGAGTGCGAAGTTAAAGATGCGATGGTGCGCTGTGGTTGTGATTGTGGGTTTACTCTTTCAGCAAGTCGAAATCTTTGTCTGTAATATTAGCTTGTACCATTCGAAAGCCACTACTGCCTTGTCTTATCTTCAAGCCTTTTGTAAGCATCATTGCATATAGACCTTGTTACCATAGCCACAGCCACAGCCACAGCCTTGTAGGTAGGTCGTGTCTACTTGAGTAGACGACGCCTCAGTGGGCGATGGCTTCTTTAATACTCCGGTTAATACTCATGCTGACGCTGGCATAGCCTTATTCCCCGGCTTTTGTCCTCGGGAATCATCCTCACAATGTGCAACCACAACGGTGGCAAGGATTCGCCTATGCAGCCAAACATAAACACCTCGGATCCGGAAAGACCTCCTCAGTTCAACGCGAGGAATTGCAACTTTGACTGCGATTCCGGCTGCAACAAGGATAGCGACGACGAGGGTGGCGGGGCCGAGATGGATGGCCAGACGGTCATCGGCGAGGAGGAAAACGTGCATTCAGATGCAGAGGCGCAGGATGAAAGTGGTGGAGAGTCTGAAGATCTCAGGGGATCCGAGGAGTTCATGCCGGACTCTGGTGAGTCCGCTTCGGACGGTACGGGCAGCGAGTTTTTGTCTTCGCTGGAGACTGGCGATATGTCTGTGAGTATGGTGGTTGAGCCAGCTTCGTCGGGGGACCGCAGCCCAGTAATTTGTGCGAGCGTTCCGGCTCGCAGCTTGTCGTCCAACCCAGGAAATACTATACTTTTGGCAGGCCTCATGCGGGTCCCATCTCCCTTGCCAATGAGTTACTACTTTCTCCAAAAACCTTTGCGCCTCAGTGCGCAGATTGAGCATTGTAGAGGGGATCCGGCATCGCATCTGGTCGCGCCGGATCGTGTTCGGTTGTCATCCTTGATGGAGCAGTTGGTGAGAGAGTATGCGCCTGCATACAGGAGCGTCTCACCGCCTCGATTCCGAGCATATTACTAGGTCATGGCTGAGTAGTATTTTGTGTTCCAGGACGTTTGTTATTCGAGCTTGTTGTTGCATTGGAGTGAGGGCGCACTTTGCTTGTTTCGGGAATTAGCTAGCCGCATCGTGTGCACGTGTGGGCCGGAGCTAGGTTTGATATTGCCTATATTTCTAAGTTGAAATTGATACCTCAATTCACACATGCATGCATGTAGAAAGGAAAGTGGGCACGTGAGGTCGAGTGCAAGCAGATCAGGTTCTGAGGAGACAAGTATTGCAATTGCGTGCTGTGCTAATAAAAAGGAAAGGGGCCAGCGTCACGGGCGGGCGAGGCACAATGGGAGAAATGTCCGGTTGTAGATGTCACATCCGGCAGAGCGAGTGATGGTCGTGTAGGTGCAAATTGGTCGCTGGGGCTGCTCCGATATCACCCGTAGTACATTTGCCGCACCCCCCAGTGGGTGGACGGTCGCCTAACGTTGTTGGCATGGTGCAACCGTGGCTTGGCCTAGCAGATGGCCTGGAAATAGACAACGGCGAAACATGCATTTACCCCTTGGGCGGCCGCGGATGCGTCTAGAGGCATTTTCTTTGCGGCTGACAGCGTGTACCGTCGACGGAACGTGGACCCGTGCGTTATTGCGTGGTGAGACCTCTTCCGATCCCAAAGCGAACAAGTTGCGCCTCAAGAGCACGTTGCTCGAGTCGATGCATCGTGACGATGATGGCTTGGCGGTCATGTTGGCTGCACATGCGGACGGTCGCGTGTGCCAGAGGCTCGCGGGTGTGTAGGTGTACGTGGTAGTATATCCCGTGTAGTAATACTCGCACGCCAGGCCCGGCCGCCGTTCTTGGAGAGGGCATGGAGGTCATCGACGAGGCCATCTCGCTGCCATGTCATTTGTCGATCCCCCAGTCAGCGACGCCATCCCGATCCATGGCGGCGGCCTCGACATGGACATGGAAATGCCTAGCCCTGCCAGCGACCCACACGGCTGCTGTCCGTCGTCGCGCCGTGTAGTGCTAGACGAATTGGAGGTGTGGGATATGTGTGGGGGCTGACTGCTGGGCTGACTCGACGGCACTGCTGCGCCGACAAGCAGCACGCTGCTGTGGCTTGCTGCCGGGCAGCGTCAGAGAATCAGTGACAGGTGGTGAGCATTGCTTTTTTGGACATGAGTGCAGATGCATCAGCGGCGGCACTGTGGGCGCGGTGCATTGATGGAACAATTTCGAGTTATCGGGCATGAAGGGGGAGGCGCAACGGTCGAGACTTGATCGAAGCGCTCTTCTGGACCCAACAAGAATCACCATCTTGTCAACTCGACGCGCCTGCTTGACCGTCGAGGGCCCTAGCACTGCCGTCGTACCGCTACACTGCGCTGCCTCATATATCCCTCCACACCATCTCCACCCCTCCATCCCTCCCTCCTGTCTCCCCCCCCCCCAAAATTCGCGAATCCCCGCGCGGTCGCCCCTAGACTGTCACTGCGACCTGCGACCCAGTCGGCCATACGTCATCCTGCACCCCGTCCACCGCCCGCTCGACACTGTGATATTTCACATGTTGCCCGCCAGAGCCCCGTCCACACGCTTTCCGCCCTTCGACAAGCCCCTGGCCGTGTGGGAAAAGAGATACGCGGTCTGGTGAGTCGAGTGCATATGCATTGCCCACAACCTCCATGTCCTCGCGACTGACCGCTGCCCAAAGCCTACACGCCTACTCTTGAACTCTGCCCGCCCACCCACCCACCCACCGAGCAGAACATTATACACTGCATATACCTCGGTAGCCAAGAGGCACCCTGCGTCTTGTTGCACCCGTCAACATCACAACCACCTGTGAATTGCTACCTCTACGTACCCCGGATTGTCCCGATCCACCTCCCCGATCGACTTCCCCGCTCGCGTGCGCATCCGCACCAGAGGCACACCTGCGATTGGCAGTTTCCCAACAGTGACATAAACGATCCGCACAAGACTAGATCATAAAGGGCCACTTGTCGGGGGTATACAACGCTAATAAAGATGGACTCTGCAGCACCTCCAAGGCGCTTCAAGCCCGAGCCCTTTGAGACGACGGTTTCATCTTCAAAGGATAAAGCCAGGCCGGAGCCTGTCGAGGCCCCTAAGCCGCGAAGGTTTGCGCCTCAGCCCATTGAGACCACTACTTCGAGTTCCAAAGCCAGGCGTAGGTTCGCGCCTGAGCCGTTTGAGACTACAACCACAAGCTCCAAAGCGAACCGGAGATTCATACCCGAGCCCATTGAGACCACGGCCACAAGCTCCAAGGTGCTGCGAAGATTCGCACCCCAGCCCATGGAAACTACCATTAGGTCGAACCGCCGCTTTGCTCCCCAGCCTTTAGAAACGACCACACGAAGCAGTCGTCAAAAGTTTGCCCGTGATTGGGAAGAGCAGACATCGCCTACTGAAAAGTTCAAAGTTAATCCCCTGGGCACAGTGCCGAGAAAGCTGCCTGTTAAGAGATTCAGGCCCCAACTGATCGAGACTGCTCAGAGACACCGCAAAGCAGGTGACGACGAGCCTGTATTGTTTGACTACGAAAAGACCGAGGTGACCCCAGAGTCAGCCATCAGTGCCCGAAAAGCAAGAATATTGGGAATTCCACCTACCCCACCAGTAAACACTCCGACATATGACATGTCACAAAACCCCTTGTTTCTCGAGATTCAACGCAACGCTTCACCACTAAGTAGGCGTCGATCGTACTTTAGCTCTTCACAACATTCATTCCGCGTGCCAGACTTGGATCCCATTGAATCTTCAGAGTCTGAGGCATCAACCCCGCCTTCACCCACCGAGTCACCTCCCTACAGGCCTGACCACTCCTTCATGTACAAGGAGGCTACCCGACGGCGGGAGAGTGCCGATGGCACCTCTGCTGGATACTTGCTTGAGCTGGCAGCCAAGGCTGCTGAGAAGCAACTCCGAGAACAAGCGTTGGCAGCATTCCCTAACAGTGATATTCACGAGCCGGTGGCTCACTATGTAGATCGTGACACCGAGGGTTCAGAGCCGTCTGTCACAGAGGCAAAGCCCCAGCCCGAGCCCCAGCCCGAGCCCCCATATACTGTCGTGAACTGGGAATTGGAAGCTATGCGGAAATACCAAGCAGAGCAGATTGCCGAGAAAGAGAAGCCGAAGCCTGCTGAATACGCAAAACCTGCTTTCAGCCCCTTTGGCAATCCCGCAGGCTTTCTGGACGCTGCCACGGCTAGCAAGTTTGCAAAGGAACGTAAGGACCCCGAATTGGAGCGCCAGCGAAGAGAAGCCCGCCCCCCTATGCTCGGGCAAGACATCAAGTTTCCACGCTGCGAATCTCCTGAGCCATCCCGTTTCGATCCTACCCAAGGATGTGACGCGGTCAGGACAGCCATGTGCTATCTCTCCGAGCAGTCCAAAGCTGCCTCTGAAAAAGGTGAAAGCCTGTGGTGCGGCAAGGGCAATGGAAGACAAACAAGCACAACACCATCATTGTGGTCTACTGCCAACAGCCGCGCCTCGAGCACCCATGGCTTGTGGGGCGGATTCTGCGTCAATGGCGGAGACAAGTCCCCACGCGGACCAACTGGTCTCTTGACGCCCAATGCAGAGATACCAAATCCCATTTCACCTTACCCAACCCCGTCTGCGAGTCTGTTGCCTCCTACTCCTCCAGCATCTAGCTCGGGTGCAACATTCGCGCCATCGGACTTTGCTGGCATTGATGAGAAACTTGCTGTCGAGCAGTCGATCGAAGAGGAGTTTGGTGACGATTTCGTTACCCAGGTTTACAATTATCTATCGCTGGGCTATCCATCCATGGCCCGTCCATTTGACGCGGAGCTCTCCAAAATTTCACACATTCCTATCTCTGAGTTGCGGCAAGATGACCATCTCGCCAAATCTCGCGGTTACATTCGCCTTGGAAAGGACGGCAACTTGAAGGACTCTGAGATTACCGAGGAAACATGCATGCGTTGGCGCGCGCTGCGCATCTATATAAAAGAGTGGGCGAGACAGCATCCCAAAATGGCTGACGAAGATCTTACCAGCTCTTGTCATGGTACTGTTGCAATTAGAAGGGGCAGTTGGGCTCAGTAGCATATTTTTGGATGCCTGATCCTTGTCCCGCTTCCTTCCGCGTGAGGTAATCACTGACGCCTACTTGGGGTCTCTCTGCCGGTCTCTTTGTGGAATCCCGGTTTCTGCCTTCGTTGTGCAAGGTTTCATCTGTCGACTCCCTTGCCAACTTTGTGGGGTTTTTTTTAAACCTGGGCGTAGATCTCATACAGTGTCGTCTAGTTTTCCTGCTGAGAGTATCAGCATTTTTAGATTCATATCTCTTTTATCTTCTCGAGGGTACTTGTACATTTTTACCCGAGGTATATTCTTTGTAAAGCAAAATATAATTTCAACTAAGTGTCTTGTGACCACATGTTGGGACGTTTTGATTGCTGAATGGTGTGGCGTTAACGTTACTCGAATAGACTTTCCTCGCGTCTGCCAAACGGCCTTAGACCTGACAGGGCGTTGGAGGGATACAAGGGTACGGGGTATTGGACATCATTCTCTCTCATCGAATGACTTGATATCCGAAAGTAGACGAGCTAACTGCATTTAGCCATAACTGCTTTTTCTAGTCTTATCGCCAGCGCCCACATTCCCGTGTCGAGACTCGCACCCTCATTTCCGTACCGGTGCGTCGGATACGAACATGAAAAGCGCCTCAATCATTGCAATAAAGTATGTTCTTCATTGCTTTACTAAGACGTGATCGCCACACAGCTGGACGGAACCCACATCCCGCTCCCGCCGCCATCGCCGTCCATCCCGCGATCCGCCTAGGCCCAAGCTTCGTTCACGTCCACACGGCCCTTTTTTACCAATAGGAACATTTCACGCGTTGGGCTCTTGAGAAATTTCCCGGTTTCTGGACCTGGAACTCACTAGCAGACACATTGATTGCTGCGTCGATCCTCGGTCGGGAATCCCGACCAGTACTCATTGCCTAATTCGACTAGATATGCGGGGACCCTTGACGGGCCGAGGCGTTTCGGTGAGCAGCATTGTATGAGTAGAGGATACGATCTTGACTTTGATCTGATGAACCAAAAGACGATCACGTCTCAAACCTTGTTAGTCGAGTCAGCAGCACGGTACTTATATCTCATTGTTTCTTTCAGTTCCACGACACACCCACACACATCTAGTTCGCGTTTGATTCACGGCCGTTTTCATGAAGTAGATACACAACCTGAAAGCTTGGTTACTTGATCGGGTCCATAGTTTATATCGTGACAAAACCTCCAGCAGCGGAACATCTCCAAAAATAACTACCGGGAAAGAACTGGCAATGCAAGTTTTCAACTTGTCCAACCTTCCACAGGGACTAGTATTCCAGGCGTGGGTTCTGTGCAGCATCGGTATTATTACCATTATGCTACGAATGTCAGTAACAAGATTTTATCATCTGTACATGAGGCTAATCGTCCACCCAGTTTCTCCCGGTGGCGTCATATTCGTAACCTTAGTCTGTTCGCGGTAGATGACTGGATCATGATGACGGCTGTGCCGACACTTTATACCGGGCTGGCAGTGATCTCAACTCCAACAATTGCCAAAGACGGAAGCAGCATGACCCCATCAGAACGTGTGAGCGCATCCATACAAGGTGGCTCCAATAAGTGGATCAAAGAACCAACAGCCATTGCTGTTGCTGAGCAGGTATGTTGGTAGCACGTAACACGTCGAAAGACAGATCGACACGTGAAGCTAACATCTAGCAGTGCATGCACGCCTTGATGTCCGCATTAAAACTATGTATGCTATTGACATTCGCTCGCACGCTCAAAGAAACGACCACCATCAAATGGGTCAAGGGTGCGGCAGTATACATCATCTTCGGCTGGCTAGCGGTTGAAGTTGCCTTCTTCACGGTCTGCAGCACAGTCGAGGAGTTTGCTATTGCCCATGCAACATTCAACCTTAGCAGCGATGTATCCATCGTTGCGATCGCAATCTCGCTAATCACATCGCTCTCGCTACCGGTTAAACAAAAGACCAGGCTAGTCATGCTACTTGGCATGGGCAGTTTTATCGTATGTCAACACACGCCATTTTATTCTAGCCCTTTCCCTAGTACTAACGCTTATGCGCTAGGTCATCTCAGCACTTCTAGCAACATTCCGCGACTTTACCGAAGCTTATTCTACAACTCGCATACCCTGGTACTTACGCGAGGCGTCGTTCGTAGTCTGCGTCGCTAATGCACTTAACCTTTGGTGTCTATTCCCCAGAAACATGCCATTCGTGCATGACGCTATCGAGTCAAATGTCCGATGCTCCGACGCTCAGCGAGACGAGAAAGTATCTACTAGTATGAACGAGCATCACAGCCACATACACGCCTTCCAGACCCCCAGCCCTGACGACTTGGACTGCGAAGAAGCAAGCTGCGATGACGAGGAAAATGAGATAATCAATCAGTGCGAAGCGAATCCCTGGAAACGCATCATCGTAGACGTACAAGTCGATTTCAAATTGGAGATTCTAAATGCCAGGTGCGCAGGATCTTCCATGAAGGCAGAGAAGTCGAGGATCGTAACGTGTGAGGGACCAGATGCGCGACATGGAAAGGATTAATACGGTAGATTTGCTCGATTAGGTGGTTTGCGCTTTGTTTTTTTGGGTTGTTAATGATATCCAATACGATGTTCTCCATTCCTTAATAGTGATTCAAAAATGGTTGCAGCTTTAGCTGCCATATTCATGATCAGTTCGTAGAGAAATTGGGTGTTCGAGAATGAAGAAATGTGAATCTGGATGACTCTGAGAAGCTCTGCACGACTAATAAGCGCAGTCGTACCGAGATGTGAGGAGGATGGTGTGTAGTCACGTGATGGACACCCAGAATACCACTAGCAGTGGGCCAAACCCGCAAAGTGAGCTAAAAACCAGTTAGAAAACCAGTCAAAAATCCAGACCTCTGCGGGCAGCCATCTAATCCTATATATGCATGTGATTCTCGTTTGAGTACCCTTCGGGCCTTCCCCTACTACACTGCCTAATTGTTCCTCCACAGCATCAGCTCCTGAGAGCTGATTCAATCGTACTTCTGTTCAACAGAACAAGAGATAAATTGATGATGAATCTAGACTACGAACTATATGTATATTTATGTCAATAAATAAGATAGTTTGATAGACATACTTTGATGTTTGGTGAAATAATCGTGTGTTTGGTTTAATGGATTGTTATGATGGGAATCCACAAACAACAGCAACTTCTTGGGGCATTCTCTTACTATACTCCCTAGATGCTTGACCATAACATCAGCTCCTAAGAGCTGGTTTCAATCGTAATTTTTATTCTAACAGATGGTAGCCATACACGCAAGTGTATACCAACTTATCCTCTAATTCTGTAAGGAAGAAGACGTAGCTAAACACAAATACTACACAATATCACACCTAATATCTCTCCCAACTACTACTTCAACACTACCACAGTTCCACAGTTCCTCTACTCCTAAAACTTCGTCACCGATCCCAATCAACCACCCAAAATGCAGCTCCAACTCACCTCCACCCTCGCCACTAGCATGCTCTTGTTCACTGCAGCAACAGCCCAACTCTCCCTCGTATGCAGGGGCTCCGACATCGTCTTCGGCGGTCCATGCTTCGGTAATTCGAACTCTTGCCAGTGTAACACTGGTACGGTGCTGAGTGGCAATTGCAATGGCCAAGGTGTAAGTTTTTTGAGATGAGCATACTTCTCTCGCTTTTTTTTCCCTTCTTAAGCTATGTAAAAAAGAGTATGACTAACGTAAGCCATTATAGGGATGTTTGATTGTTATTAAAACGAATCGTTCGGCGTAAAAGGGGATGCTGGGGTATATATGGTGGATGTCGGAAAGCTATGAGAATTACAAGGCGAAGAAGGAGAGGGAGGGTGGGAAGGCTTGGGTAGGGAAAGAGATGGAGGTGTTCTATGTGGTAGTTGGGTATGCGCTGATGGGGAAGAATAAATTGTATAGTGGTATTTGAATAAAGATTTTTCTTGGACTTTTTGTTGGGCACTGAGTGGTTGGATTTCAAGTTTGCTTTGACAGGTCCTGGAGTAAATGAAGTGGTTAAATCACCGGATAGTTGTAAGGGCAAGTGGTCAGACTAGTATTTATCTGAAGCTGCACTGCTCAGGACTGTAGGTAACAGGCTTCTCGCGGGTGCCTTTGTAAATTTAGTGGTGCACGAATATGTGAGAAGATACCCGGCTGGGATCGACTATATTAAAGGAAGTTTGGTAGGTCGCAACTGGTGATCATGTTTCTTTTCTTGTTACTACTAAAATGCGTTATGAGAATAGATTGTCGAAATTAGTTGCTCGGCATGGCCCTCCAAATGAACACTCATTGGCTTCCAACTACTGTGAGCGACCCTTTTCATTGACGGAACCATGATAATCAACATTCATGCATACCCCTCGACCCAAAATAACCACAAAGGACAACTCACCCACGCCCTAAATACAGAACAAGAATCGCTCAGCCTCACCTCCGCATCGTCATATGATCCCCTCCGACGGCCGCCATCCCCCTCCCTTCCCAAGCGCCACGCGCTTAAACTCCACCAACCACCATACTCCAGCAGTCCATCTCCATCACCCCCAAAATCATCACCAAAGAAAACACATCGTACCATTCTTTTACCGTGAAAGAAATTTAATGACAGAAAACGCCCACCAACGCCCACAGGACCCCTTTCCGCGGCAAGGCACACTTTAGGCCCCCTACGACAATCAGAATGTCACTCGTCTACCCGCCATCGTATCTCGCATCTGCGAATCGCACAGTGCCTAAGCACTACCCACACTGCGACAACCACTAATAACTCCTCTTCTTTTATTTTCCGCCCCCAAGACTTACGGCTAAACAGTTACGTTGTGGGGAGAGAGGGGAAAGAGAGAGCGGGGGCGGGGCGCGCTTGTTTGTCGGCCATTTTTGTATGCATGCATCACGATAAATACATACCGGGATGCCGCTTCTCTCAGCCGCACACAAGAGGTTGGGGGCCGCGGTTTAGGAAGTTTTCCTCTCTTTCGGTTAGATGATAGCGATGGTAATGCAGGTACCTCTTTTTAGGGATCGCATGCTGGCCAATCACTTGCGCCATGGGGTATTTTGGTAGATGCGAGCAAGTGCAAGCACGGCCAAGGTACATGTGGAAGTAAACGGCACTGGAAGCTGTAACAAACTAAGAATGTCTATGCTGTGTCCAACGGCCAGTTACTTTACCTTTTTTTGTAAGCGGTATGGACGACGTACCGTCATGGGTATTTGCAAGCGAGATAAGTTGTAACAACACATCAAGCTTCATCCTTGCAGTCTATCTTCGCATCTAGGTACACAGATGCCGGTACCCCTGCTCTGTCCAACCACTGCACCCAACCTGCATGTCAATCATCATATTTTTGCGGAGTGTGCCGTAATGAAAACGCCTGTCAGCTCCCCACGAGGCTTGCATACACATGTTGCCCAGACGCGAAGTAGCCCTTCTCGCATCCATCGCATTCACTGCATAGCCATGGATCGCAAGATGGCCCTCTTGGGGGCGGAATGATTGAAATCAGGTAAAGAAAACAATTTCGTATGAGGGGAGGATGTGTATAAAAGCAGTATGGGAGTCCGCTGGGAAGTAGAGCATCATCAGCATCGATCAAGCTTCTCTTCTCTTCTTCTTCTTCTCCTCATCACTACTACCCCTACAAGACACAATTCGGCCTTGTCCTTTTCTACGAAAAGAAAACAGCAAGTATGAAGTTCACTCTCATCGCCGCTTTTGCTACTCTTGCTACCGTTGTAGCTGGCACACCGACTATTTCTGCGTTTGAGGCGCGAGAGGCCGAGGCCGAAGCTGTTGGACTTGTTCCTCGTGTACGTTCTTTTCCTTCTCCTCCCTTTTATTCTTCTTGGCTTCTTCGGGGTTTAGAAGCAAGACGCTAACTGTGACTAGGCTTGCCCTGGAGCCCGCTCTGGATGCCGTGTTGATTGGGCCAAGAAGTGCGAGTGGTACTGCCAGAACCGCGGTGGTTTCTTGGTTATGGAGTCGTGCTACTTGGGATTCAGCAGGTGCTGCTGCAGGAACTAAAGGGAGAATAGGAGGATGGGATTTTTGAAGATTTTTGTGGGATGGGCGTGGGGGATTTTTTTCTGGAACAGTGGAGGTGGCAGTCTCCTCAGTTCATGCCTGTAGCGATCTATCATGTCCTGGACACGATCGGCCAAGCTTAACACTAGCCCAGGTATATCACAATACTATGAATTTTTGGACTCGAAAACGCGCACCGAGGTATCAGGGGAATCGAGAAAAGTGCCGATAAGAGCTAAAATAAGACGCTTGTGAGCAAAATCATTCCAAATGTAATGAGATACGAATATCATAGGCTAGGAATCTTGTGAAATTCATCGTGAAAGCATATATTTCAGGAAACCATTTCTGCCATTGGTTCGTTCAAAGCGGGGGGGGGGGGTGTTGCGTGCGCTCTTTGCAGTGGTCACGAATTCCCATAGATCTAATAGCACCGAACAACTTCAATCAAATTCGAAATCTCTTCTTCGATGATAGCATACAATATAGATGCATAGTGCTATAACTTGTTGCCAAAATCAGAATAGCAGCAATGACGGGTGGTCCATACAGGTTGTCCGCTAAGGCGCTATGCTCTATGTCATTTGTCAGTGTCACAACGCATGATGATTTCATTTCACTGAATGTGAGTCAATTCACTTTGGAAGCCAGACATACAAGACGCTACTCTAAGATAGTTATATATGCATCGCTTTTCTTTTTCTCCACTAGGGGATACTCTATTACTCAGAAGCAAAATTGGGCCCTGCGGGCCGAGTCGTGGTCGTCGGCGCTAAAAAATTCAATAGAAAGCCCACGTAAATCATCTCGTATCAAAAGGCGCTCCATGATCAAAGAACAGTATCTATTCGTATGCATAAATAGAGCGAGTTTCAGAGCATCCTAGACTGCTTGCACAACGACCACAGTCTTACGCGTGGCTGCTAAATACCTTGCCCCTCCATAAACCTGCTCCTACGATACCGTTTTTCGGTTTACTCCTCAGACTTGGAACTACTTCGGCAGATAACCAATAGAAGTAGGCAGTTCATGTTTATGTAGGCTAATTAGCAGTAATCGCTTTTCCCGTGTCTTTGTTTGTAATCATCAAGGTAGTTCAATAACAGTCTACGAGTGAGCGCCTGACTAACTGAAATGGCTAACTAACTTCTAATTGTTGTGTAGGAGTTCTTCTGTCAAAGATTTTGAGCCTGGGTATATCGAGATAGCCATCAGCAAAAGCTGTTCAAGCCTACTTCTTGCTTCACAAGCTATTTCGATTACATTTCGACGTTATCACGAAGTAGTAGGTTTAGTTAGGCTTGCATGAACTAGACGTTTATCATAGCTATGAGAAATCTAATTGAGGATTGAATCCAGGAAAATCCAGGTCTTGTTCGATGGATAACGGGGTGTGCACATCCAAATATCCTATTGCGGCGTTGATTACGTTGATGCTGCCAACTGTCAGTGAAGTGCATTGGTCTAGAGTATAGGAAACATACTGAAGGTCTGGCATGTGCTCTCCTATCAGATCATGTATCCGCAGAATGGGAAGAGGATTGCCAATAAGTCTGGGAACTTGTAAGTTTTCGCAGATCCTTCGTATGGCAAGCAGCTTCTTGGCGCTACCATAGCGATTCATGAGGCGGATCAGCCGGTAATTTGAGGCCCCTACGCATGTTCAGTCAGCAATTCGGGGAGTATCTTAGCCGAAAGCTCTCACCGAAAATGTGATAGAATACTAGCGATGCAACGCCTGTCCCATGTGACATTTCAATGGAAGCCACAAGCCGGTTTATGAATATTGTCTCGTAACGGAGGGTTTTCAGGCTACGTGAAGTTCCCTCAAAGCCTGCTTCCCTCATTCTTGCGTTGATCTTGGTAACCGTCAGCAGGGAATCATTCGCACTCCAACTTCTTTTCAATATACGTACTACGCGAGCACCTGCTTTCCCTGGTTCGCATGCGAGTCCCTCCCAAAGGAGAAAGAAGCACAGAGAAAAGAACCGAGTGAAGGTCGCATTCTTCAGTTGCTCCTTTGCCTGACCGGCCATTAGTTCGCAACATCTGAAGGCCTGCATAGCAGGCTCAGAGTATATGCCCTCTGGTAATGCTGGGCTTGAGAGGCGGTTACTAAACTCGATCGCCATGACACGTGATTCTGTGTTGCAGAAACTTTTCAGAAATTCATCCGCGACTTTTGTGATTGGGCATTCGTGTTGAATTGGGGGTGTTGTATGCATGACACTGCAGCTTTCTGCATCTTGCATGGGATAATCGACCAGTGGCTCTGCTGGACGTGTTCCCAGCACAGATCCCGCGAATGCATCCATGAAAAAATGTTGCTCAGAATCAAAGCTTGAGTCATGGTCATGGTTCTGGCTGTAGATCTCATCTTCATTAGACAAAGGTGTTGGAGATCCCAGCATGTGATCGAGTATTAATGCTGATCTCTGCGCGCAGGTTGAGTTGCTGTGCCTAATCTCCGAGGAAACCTGTACCTTCCGCCTGAGAAGCGCGATTAGTATCAGGCTAGAAGATTATCAAAACGATCAGTATAACTAACCATACGCTAGCCATTTCAAAATTCCACGGATGATACGGCATGTAAATGCTGTATGTTTTCTGTGCTATGCTGATAATTGTGGGCATAAATAAATTTCTGTCTAGGCCTTGACAACACTGCGCATATGAGGCTTCTGCATGATAGAAAACCTGGCCGCGATGGCTTGGAATGCTGAAAGGAATTATTGATACACATATTGTCAAGATATGTGTAGTGTGAAAGGGTACAGGAACATAGAGGTAGAGAGCCTCTATCAACACGTCTGAGAAGAATTGCTGGGTGTCTTGGTTTTCCTGCGGAGGAGATATGACGTATGCTTTGTAGGAAGGGTTTCCTTCAACTTCCGTCATCATTGAGTAATTGAAGGTCGTGATGCGCCGTTTATGTGTGGGTCCAATGTAATCAGATAGTATAGAATGATCAAGAGGTAGCGAGAGTTAAGGTATGGCGATCGCTCGTAAGTAAAATCGGCGGGTCTTGGTCGAGGGGCTTGGGATGAAGCTTTATCTATACGAGGTTCAAACAGGATGATTCTGGTCCCAGCTTCGTCCGAACTCCAGGGTAGATGGGACTAAGCATTCCGGCGTATAGACTGGCCACGCGAGACTCCTGATTGCGCACATGCGCATTTACCCCTGGTATAGGGTTCGCGCTCATTAACTCCTCGCCAAGCTTAGGGTGTCATCAAACAGAGGTTCTTGCGCATGGGAATGACAAGAACAGGCAGGTGCCCTTCATAACTATGAACATATTCTTCCTCTATACGTGAACACAATCTGAGCTGTTGAAAAACCAAAAAAAAACTCTGTAACAATATTGCCTTAACTCTAGAACTTTTCACTAAAAGTTGGTAAGACCTTTGGAATGGATATCGTAGCAAAAACAGTATTGGTCACATTAACATTTGCTGAATAAGGGTGATCCTACAGCTGAATGTAGATCATTCCAGTGACTGATGATCATACGATCAACACAAATGTAAGCAATGATGCAATACAATACGAGACCGAAGTTTTCGAAGTAAAGCCGCCCATATCAGTGTACTGCCGCCTCATTTGCAGCGTATTGGGTCTATACCGTAAATGTACTTGTGGAGCCATGTTTTATATACCTGGGGGACTTTCTGCCCAGGCAATGTATCGCTTGACCGGAGCTTCTAATCCAACTCGGACCGGTCTGAGAATTTACGAGGCTATGATCTATGGGCTAGCAATACTGATAGAGCTCCTACTTCATGATATTATCTCAGCAGTGGTCGACATCCACTTCTTCTGTCCTAACAATAAATAGAACTTGGTGCGGCCTACTCGCTTTCACTATCATTTTTGTCTCAATTGTGAGATGCGATTTGAAATTTGTGAATGAGAAATAGAACGGAGAATTTCGAATGCAACGGGACAGGGTGTCTTCCGCGTTTAGGAGTCTAGGGCGAGTACTTTCAAGCCAATTAACTGTTTTGAAACTGCTGTTCGATCAAATCTGAACACTACCGAAGTCAGACCATCAGTTGATGTACCACCGACGGACTCTCTAAAGAAGCCCTAACCCATGTCAGCTTTAGCGATGCAAGTACAGCCTGTTGTTATAGGAATTGATTCTACTACCAGCTTCTTGCTGCAAGTATTACCGTTGTATAATGTTGCTGCTCTATAATAGATGCGGCCCAACAAGTGGGACCAATCAACAGTAGCACCGCAGGGCTAGTAATCCCTTTGTTCCGTCGTAGGTGATCTTTATAGTTAGTCTGCCTCCCTCAATCCTTAACTTGCTGACAAATGGGACTAATTCTATGATAGGGGCGATATCGAAGACATGAATCCGCGCCATGCACACTAGCTCCTTCAGATCCAGTTCAAGCCCGCGTAAACGGGGCAGAAAAAACGTGTACTGTGCTACCTGTCACAAATTTTGTACTATAGAAACGCTTGGATGAAAATCTGGCTCTTCTTCGGATAACTTATTACAGAAAATTACTACGCTATTCTTGATAACTATGACTCTACGGAGTATAGATTATACTCTTTATAGTATAGCTCTTACTCTCTACCCTGGCTTATATCGTCCCCTTGCTAGCGGGCCTACGTACGTCAATTCTGCCATGTATCACAGTGTCCTTAATGTCTGGTTATCGGCTGCATGTAATCGCATTCCAAGCTTCTTGCGCACAAGGGATAAGTTTTGGTACGGGGTGACAGGGGTGAGTTTCCCCACCAAAAAGCAATGCTAAACTGTAATAGGAATACCGCTCGGGAGGTTTCCTTGGTAGTGGCCGTCCTGCATTAATGGAAATGTTAGATCCGGGTCTGGCTTTGCTACGTAAATTGTTTCGAATGAACGTTGCCAATTTCGAACATGTGATCAGACCTTACACAAGCCACTAGCAGGTGGAACCTATTCTCGTTTCACAAAGTCGCCTTGAACAGTCACCGAACCAGAGTCAGCATTGTTCTTAAAAGGGAAATTTAACACCGACAGTGTTCATGCCCTCCATTTCTAGTAAGTAACCGCATTCTCTGCCGCTTCAAGCTTCCTCTGCTTATCAAAGGCGTATTGGTGATGGTCCCTTCTCTACCAGCTACTCAATCCAGTGTATGTCGCAGCAAAATGGTGCGCCAGTAAAAGTTCTTACGAGTATGTTATTACTCCTGATCAATAAAGCAGATAGCATCTGGGCCCCAAGCGGAGATGCAGTATAATTACGTGTCCCTTGGAGGGGCTTTGAATATCATGGTTGACGTACGGGCTGATATATAGTAAGGCTAGGTTCAACGTGACTTGAGCAGCGAACCTTCTAGGCTTTTCTTTTTGCCAGCAGCAGGCTTGTTGTCGCGTCTCATTCCATCCTTGTCGCATTCTAAATACTGCAAATACGAAAAAGATCCACGAGCTACCCAGGGACATTTACAGGTATTGCACCATGCGTAAGTTGACGAAGCCTGTAAGTATCGTACTTAGGTTGTTCGGTACCGTTCCAGAGCACGGTACTTGCCGGTTATCTCGAAGAATAAGTAGTATCGCAGGTTGGCACGTACGACAGAACATGCAGGGGGTTCCTTGCCAAGTAATAAGCGTTAGATTTGTTAGTTTTATATACTAAAAACATTCTTTCTATATTACACTATTTCATAGCTATACTTACCTTCTCTTATAAGAAATTTCTTACAAGTCTTTACGGATTTCTACCACAGAGCTATTTACTCTTAAAAATTCTTAAAAATTCTTGAAAATCATTTTATCCTATTTGTTCGCATCATACTCGAAGTTATAATACGGAAAAATTAAACTTATCTTCTTTTAGTAGTAAGATACTAACAGATTAAGACTAGTATATTCCTAACTGGCTGCAAAATAGCTGTAATACACCAGGTTGCGATCCCTACATATTCCATCGTATGTGCTAACCCGTGGTATTGTTTCTGCGGGCCGTGATACGGCGCGCGGCACGGTGCCCTGACCCCAATGATACTAATAAGCGTTGCCGCACACCGATTGAAACAGCGCTTTGAGCGGCATTACCCGGCTCATCTACGGGGACCACCACGTTCCGTGGCCCGAATAACACCCAATCTTGGCCTATCCATCTCGCGGCAAAGATAACCCGGCGATCGAGATCCAGCCCGTTTTCAGAGATTGGCGAATTCCGCAAGCCAAGACACCTCATTGCCATACAGTACCATGTCCAGCTGTGGACTGTGGACTGCATCGATGTGTTATTCGCAATACTGTGCATATATGCACGTATCCCCATTGTGTTAACAGACTTAGATTTTGTGTGAGCGATAATCAAGTGGCTATTTCTGCTACCAGAGTTCGGGGTCGTATTGCAACCCGTATTAGTCCTTGGTAAAGCCTCCTTGGGTATTGGCAACAGCTAATCCCCTCTTCACCGTATTACTTACTCCTATGGAATCAAGGGGTCTGGGTGCCCAGCTGTCATATTTTAGCGTCTCCAATCCTAAAATGCGTGACTGACGTCACAATACGATTTGGTGTGGAGGACTCCAGACAAAACCTCTTCCTATCCCGTTCACTTTCGCATATGTTCTGCTGATTGAACAGCACAATACTGCATCGTTACGATCCAGACATATCATAAAAATGAGCACATCAAATGCCACGGCAACGGATGAACCTAATGCTCTGGGCGATCGACGTGCCAGCAAACCAACCCGGCGTTTCGTCGGGATTTCATTCACATCGATAGACTCATAGCCCGTCAGTACAGCTCCAGCCCTTGCAGTGAATTTCATCACTGTCCACCGACCTAACTGGCCTGCCGTACCGCCTCGGCCGCAAGACTGTCCGGTCGAACCAGGCAATGCCGAAGTTTCCACTGGTCGGACTCAGGTTGCAGTTCAGTATAATCATCTGGAAAAACTTGCTGCCCAATAGGCCTTTACCTTGATAAGCGTAGCATCTACTCAGATTAACCAATGATCCATTGCAAATGGCAGCAACAGTAACTTGGGGTTAGTGTCACCCTCAGGGTCACCTCAGGGCCACCTCAGCGTTTAGCGAGTTTCAGGGTCTCAAGAATATAGCTCATACTATTATTGAGATATTTCATAGCTTTACTAGCTGCAATCTACTGAATAGGGCTAGCAGGTCTCGTTTTTGGTGGAATGGATTCCGCAGGGTGACGTGCTAAAATATTACTGTGCAAGGATAGAATGCCCATGTCCATGCAGAACCGGTACTGTCGGATCGTACACCATGTCACGCACCGAATCTCGGTAGAAGTAACATGTGCCAATAAGATTCAAGTAGATACGTCTGAGAGACATCGAGATTGACAATGGGCTAAAAAGTATCATATGATGATGATACGGTGCGAGATGGTAGAGAACCAATAGGATTGTTCGGGATGTACCTTCCAAGCCATCAACCTCGATGCGAGCAGAGTTTGATCGATTGCCCAGAGAAAAGCAACATGGCAAGACATGTTCGCGGGCGCCTGCGTTTCTATGGCCAACCTAGAATTGCACGTTTACGTAAAAGTAGAACTAAGAACAATACAATCAATCAAAAATAAAGGCATGCATAGTTTCAACGGATAATTTTGTAAGTTCAATTTTTGCCAAACTCGGAAGGCTAATTTGGTTGTGTTGACGGTTTCCGAGTCTAGCTGAATATGTAACCTTCTTCAGCATTGGTTGCGGGTTCTCGGTATGATGTCATCCACCGTCCAATAACCATAAAGATGTATCTCGGTATACACGTCGATATAACGACTAGGACCCCTAGCCACTCCAGCTGCCTACTAACCTACTTGTTCTACATCTTACCCAGACTAAACAATCTATCAATCTTCATCATGACCACGAAATCAGTCAAAGCAAAATTTCTGTAT